CTTTACTCAACCTTGCCTACGTCTCGTCTCGCCTCGTCTACGCGATTGCGCTTACGACTGTTGTGCTGAACCCTCCCCCCGGTGCCCGGAGCCCTTGTTCCATCCCTAGTGTCGACCGTGCGGGCCGAATCATGGGACGCCGTCGCCCATCTCAGCGCCTGAGCGCTCTCGTACGACCAAGGAGTCGAGACGCAACGCCTCGCGACCGTCCACTAACCACAGCTAGCTCGCTCATCCCCATGGGTTTGTATGGATGGGTGGACGGAGAGCGATCTCTTGCTAGTGCGCCCTTGATCGAGCTTGGTTCCTGGCCTAGCGATAATGGATGAGCGAGAAATCGATCCCGGGTTCTTCGCTACGGCGTGTGTGCTACCTATCTTGGCTAGCTAGGGGTTATCTTGACCCGAAGCACGTCCGGATAAGTGCTTATCAAGAACCGTTAAAACGCACACGGGGCCGATCTTCATTCAGGTGAGAGAGTCATGTTGAGCCCTGAGATGCCGTCTGCATCCGGAAAAGCCAAGACGAAACGCCCAGCGTTGGCAAACACCGGGTGTTGACGATACCGTCCCTAGTGATCGTACACTCTGTCCGATATCATATTTCTTTCGCCCCTCCCTTGTGCGGCATCAGAGATCAAGCGTTGTCGATCCTCGAAATTGGGAATCAAGTACCGCGGCCCCTCCCTCCCTCTGGATCTCGTTACGTCTTGGATTCCCCTTCTGGGCGACATGTCCGGGAGATGGTGATGTATGATCAGCAAAGCCGCCCCCCTTCCCGGGCCGTTGCAGACAGCCTCGTGGCTTCTTCGTTTTCCTTGATGACATTCCCTTCTTCCGTAAACTCTGTTCATGTCCATTCAATATCCGGTCCGTCATTAGCAAAAGCCACGTGGAATACCACGAGAGTGAAAGCTGTCAGCCTTTTTGACCAAGAAGATGTGAAACCGCCATCGTGGAACCCCGATTCATCACTCGCCCATTCTCCCCAGAGCGGCGAGTCAGATGGTCGCATCATTATCAAATAGTGGCTTTTTGTCTTTTAATATCTTTTTCCCTCTGCAGTCACCTCACACTGCCGAACGGGGTCCTTCAGGGTACTTGTGGCCGGGATATGCTTGCCTCTGCGATCTCACCAAGCAAACACCAAATGCTGACCCTTGGCCCAAACACAACGGGGAAGACAAAACCTTAATTCCCTTTGAAATTTTCAGGCACCACCGGGCGGCATTGACCCGGAGACCGAGATGTAGCGAGGTAACCTCATGCGGCATTCTGCGCCGACGCCTTGCATGGCAGCCTCACACACACACACAACAAGACAACGGCACACAACTCGGTGAGATGCCAAGGACGCCAGTCCGAGCACATTTCTGTGTGGCACAGACTCTGGTTCGACTTGACTCGACTTGTTCTACGGCGCCCCGATGACACACTACTCTGCCACGGCGTTGAGTACAGGGCGGAACTCGTTACATAAACCCGGGCGCCTAGGCTTCACGGCCATCACGCACGCCTTTCTGATGCTCACCTCCCCCCCCCCCCCCCCCCCCCCCTTCACAAGGCCCGTCTCATTTCAGAAACGTGTGCTAGAAGCCGTATAGCAACAAATCATTACTCAACAGCCACGTGGTGAGAAGCCTTCAGCCTGCCGCCAGACTTGAGCCTCTTTTCCCTCGTCCCGTACCGCCGGCCTTGCCACGTGTCTGAGGCACCCATGACTCGTTGTAGGGCTCTGATCTTCAGTCTCAAGTTCACCTGAAGCTATCAGGAGAACAAGGTCCTTTCTCTCCCCTCCTCAATCAGCGCTGTGGCCACCGCTGACGCGCTCATCAAGAGCAGGAGGGGTACTGGCCAAGCCCTTTATCCGTCAAGTCTGTCCTAGAGCACGTCTAGCTCGAGCGCCCGCTTCATCCCATCTCTCTCCGTATCAATTTTTCCCCAATTTCTCCAGGCCTTGTCTTATCCCGCCGATGCTTCTCCAAAAAGAGAACCCGACGGTCTTTGGGTCCCCTACGCTAGGGGAGCGTTTCCGTACCTAGATCAACCAAACCCCAAGGATCGTAGACTGAGAGGTTGCAATCCATCGCCCCGAAGGCTGCCACTCAACTGCCTCGCCACTCGCCCGGGAACAAGATCATCAAGAGTGATTTCCCAAATCGATACTCGAGTCAATCAATAGTCGTTGAACCGAAATGGTCGACAACAGCCTCCGGGGATGGCCCCCCTTTTCTCTTCCCAGGTCCCTGGCCAACTTGGCAGGGAGCACGCAAACGCCAATCGTATCAACGTCGTTGGAACCCAATCTCATCCCTATTTCACAACAACACACTACTGTAGGTACAGTACACCAGTGGAGATAGTCGGCTGTACTCCCGGCTGTCATGTTCCAGGACGGGGTGCTGGTGTCGCCATCACTCAGCTGTCAACAATCAACGCCGTGTGTTTTGGTCCTGACGGTAGTCCGGCATCCGGTTTTATTAGTGTCGTGAAGAATTTGCTGGAGTACCCATAACCACGGGAACTTCGGCCTTGACCGGACATGAGAGTATGAATCTGGAATCGCCTTTTTTTTTTAGATGATGAGGATGTTCTCTGTGGGCCGAGGTCGTCGTCAGTCCAAGAAATCCTTTCAAATACGAGGCTTGGAAAGTGTCCATGGAGATAGCAACCCTTGGCCATGACGTGCAGGTCTGTTTTGGCGCCACTTCCAAGTTTCTCGGAGCAGTGTCCAGGCACGGATGGCGAAGGATGATGGCATAACAGTTGGCAGGCGATGAGACTACCGGTAAGGCCTTACCCGGTTCTGCGGGCTTTGTCTGACATATCTCCTGGTCTCAGTTCGGTGCTGCTTTCACTGGTCTTGGCAAATATGCATGCTCTAGATCAAACCCTCCCTTCTGTGCCTCAGGCCATGCAACTCATCAATTGTCGCACCCTCGCGGTCTACAATAGAGTCTGAGTGCGTCCGATAGACAGTGTGTGCGTCAATTTCCCAGGGCCGGGGCTCTTTTTGAGATGAGTACACGATATCCGTCTGATGGTGTTCGAGAAATCCGCCGAAAACCTTGATACTTTGCTCCAGGCGTCGTCACTGGTCCACAGTCTACCAGGACGCGGGCATCAGTCAAAACCTGTCTCGTATGTAGAGTTTATCCCATTTACAGAGGTGTTCTCGACGTTCTTGGGTGGGATAACCAGGCAAATCTGCAGCCAGAGGACGACGACACAGCCTGTTGTCCGTGTCCAAGTCGGTAAAGAAGCTCGAGCGCAGGGACTTCCAGAGAACAGGCCACTTCCAAGCCTCCCGTGTTTCTGTGTTCTCAATAAAGTAAGAATGAGCCGTACCATGAGAGCTCGGGCGCAAATTTGAATGCCGCCAGCATCTTGCGAGCTCGCAACGTCGGCAGATGATGTGTCACTAGATAACATCGGGTTTCAGCCCACAGTCAATGAAATGGGCACATGGTCATTAGGGATGGAACCATGGAATTTCATCCTTTCGCAACCTTTCCCCTTTCCTTGAAGGTTCCTATGTGTAAGCGCTGAGTGTTCTCATCCTCTGCCCCCTTGTGCTTCAGCTAACCCGGCTTACATCGGGTTTGGGATGGCACCGGGCGATCGTGACCACTGCCATGGCAACAGACACAGGAGGCAGTAGATGCAAAGGGAATGCCTAGGGTAATAGGGCTTCGTATCTGGATGGTGGTAGATAGCAAGTGAGTCTCTAGTGGTGATGCTAGACGTGTATAATGATAATGAGGTAGGGAGGGAAGCTCCGCCTTACTGCACCGAAGCTCGCGTCTTAGAGGACTTCCTACAGAGCGCTCGAATCCATCGACTCATTATATTGCCCCTTTTCACATGGGCTTTCGGGTCTGAGTGTGCAGCGCTCCCGTCCGCCAGTCCCCCTGCTCTTCAGCAGAGTGGCTTACATCGATCAGTGCGACAACTCCGTGATGGCAAACGTTGCTGATAAGCACACGGGGGAACGGGGCAGAGGTAGAACATTGATCAGGGAAGTATTGTAATTTTTCCGAGCAAAAATAGACGAGCGAGATGCCTTCTCTTCTAAAATCCCAGTGAATGTATCACCAGACGACGTGAGAGGCAGAGCAAAAAACGGCAAAAAAGATGCTCCGGTGCGGGGAGTCGAACCCCGCTCGCCGCGGTGAAAACGCGGAATGATAACCGATACACCACACCGGATGTCAGCTGTATGACCAAGAGTCCCAAATTGGGCTTTATATAGTAATAATGTGGAAGTCGGGTGGTATGGTGATGCCTTCATACTGAGTTCTGTGTCGGGTTTCCTTTCTTAGACGACGGTTTTAACTCCAGGTCGACATTGAAGAGAATCATCATAATTTTAGGGTACATATCACCTATTTTAGGAAGGAGATTTTGGCAAATGACGTAGCCAGGTTTGTCCTCTGTTTGCTTCCAATTGCCGTTTGTTCCCTCTCATTGAAGTCAAAAGCCTGCGCGAATGCTTCATGGAGTCGCTCCTCGCTGTAGTTGGGCCCATCGGGACACGGAAAGCAACTAAGAGTGGCCTGGAATGATTGATTTGTCTGCATGTTGTTACCTTCTATTGATCCTGTTCTTGGCTCTTTGTTCCAGAACTGGGCCTTGGGGCAGGACAGGTGCCGCACAAGAACAAGACGATATTATCACCATGCAACTAAAAGTGCCAGCTAGGCAACAAAACAACGCCCTAATAAACCATGCCACCGCTCTCGATAATCGGACAAAGAAAATAAGTTAGACTCAGAGAAATCTTACCAGGAGTTGAATTCATAAAATTCATCATCAAGTTCAACATCGATCCTGTTGAGTGGTACAGGGTAGCTCAAAGTTCCGATATTTCCCCGACCCATCGCGTCGGATCTGAACTGCAACCATCGTCATCATCACCGTCACATTTTACGACTTCACTTTCACCAGAGCTTCCGGAGCGACACACTCGCTCCAAGGGAGGCATGCGCACTACGCCATAACATGCGCGAGTTTATGGACTATGTCCACAGCGCCTTCTACGAAGCTACGGGCTGGAACCGCGACAACTCGTACGCGGCGCTGAATGCGACCACCGATGGTGAGGACACGAGAAGAGTTGAATCAATTGCTCGAGTCATCGTACTGACACCACTGATTGTAGCACTCCTGAATTTTCAGACCCCCCGTGGGCTGCGGCTCACCCTCTCCGCTCTCGCAAGCCCCAACTTTGCGACATCCTATCAGCTCGGTTCCGTTGGCATCGTTGATGGCTCCATTTCGTACCTCTTCTCGTCAGTCCCGCTACGACTTCTCCTCACGCCACAATCGGAAACAGTAAATCTACCGGAGCTTCTGCGCTCATTCCGACCCCTCGCCGAGCTCCCCCACCGAACCGATCCCTTGCTGCAGACACCAAAGGACAAGCCTGAATCATCACTTTTGTATGGCCGACTCTACCTCCCCCAGTCTCTCGTCGAGGCAATGGTGGTTAGACGGATATCGCCCGCGTTGCAGGTTCAGCTGAGTGCCGTGTCTGCGCAACACCTTAGAAACGGAGGGACAGTTCTGGGGCTGGCGCAGTACGATGTGGGAAAGTATGCCCTAGAAGGACTGGCCTCTTCGGATGGAGGACTTTTGGGCTTCAGAGGAGTGTACAACTTTGGCGGCGATGCCGAAAACCCGTCGGCACCGAAACTCGCCGACAATGGAAATGGTGAGAGGGAGAGGGAGAGGATATACGGGCGGTTCAGCACCGGCGGAGAATTCTATTACGGCACGCTGAATAAGTCTGGTGGGATCAGCCTGGGAACTCGTTTCGCGACATTACCCTCCCACACGGGTACGCCGTTATCCGCAACGCTGACCCTCAACCCCCTGATGGGTAATATCAGCGCGAGTTACGCCGTGGTGGCCGGCAGGCATTGTAGCCTCGCCACGCGGATGGAGTTTAACGTCTTTAGTTACGAGAGTGCCTGGGCCATTGGTATGGAACTCTGGCGGAAACCGTTTACGAGACCTGTCTTGGACGAAGATGTCGATCCCGGTCGACCAAAGGAGCGTAGCTTCCAAGCAAAGCTCGAGTGGCGGTTGGACGAGCCGGAGCCAGTTGTCGTCAAACCCCCAAAGGAAGAGATTGATCCAGACAAGCCCGAAGAGGAGAAATACGCCGGCGTACTCAAGACGCGGTTGGACCAGAACCTCCGAATAGGGGTGCTCTGGGAGGGGCGGGTCAAGTCCCTCCTATTCAGTCTGGGAAGCGGAATCGACCTGCGGAAACTGGACAAACCCTTCCGGACCCTTGGATTGGAAATTCAGTTCTCTTCATGAACGGGTACCAAGCCACCGACGCGTGGGCTAGACATGGTTCCCGGTCTGCAGGGACGGTAGGACGCCGTTACCATCCAGTTGGGCCGCGTTGATGGCTGCGGACACTGGGATCATGGTGGGAAGTTTATGAGGCAGATCATGCGTGCAGACGCGGCCATTATCTCGATCCACATACATGAACGCTACGCTAACGGGGATAACGATGGACGAAAGCTGGTTGTGGATTCACATGAGACTGAGTTCGTTGAGGAGGGATGTTGTTGGTAATGTTGACTAACCGTATGGCATATCACTGGCGTTGCGGTTGATAAAATCACTACTTTGTATAGGAAAGCTAGACTTGGACTCAACGATGATACGAGCGTTGAGGGATGGTAATCTCAAAAGCTCCAATAGAAGCTGTGTCTTCTCTTGCTTGATCCCTCGACATCACGGATACTTTGCAGTTGGTTCGCTTGGACTGTCTGAAGAGACGAAGTTAGCGCCATCCATTCCAGACATGCAGGCGAGCTGAACAGGATGACGGTGCCGTCTGATCCGAACGAGTTGTTTGGGCGTTTATAGTTGCGTGGGCAGTTGACGCATCCCGCGCTTGCATGGGTCGTGAGAACCTTGATAGACTCCGCGATCTGTCCGACGATCCAATGTGTGGCTGGTGATGCGTGGGATGATCGAGTCTGGCCAATTAGAGGAGGGAGAAATAATAGACGCCACATATGTAAGGGGAACGGACTCGAGCTGCTTACACCGACATACGAGTTGGATAGAGAGGACTTCATAAAGAAACTCGATGCTTCTAGAAACGAGAATTAGACATTTGTCAACCAAAGGATCAAAGCAACCACCAGCGCAAACCTTGTACGTCGCAGTCAGAAAAAGAGTCACCAGCCACAACCAAAAACAGAGTTTCCTGACAAAAGTCCATTAGTCGTATGCTTACTTGCTAGCGGGGGTTCCCTTGAGGCTGAGATGGCCATCAAGGTCCTCACCTTAAACTGACCCACCCGCACCTCCTCAACCCCCCTCCCGTCTTGTCTTTTCTGGCTGTGGATTTGACAAACAATTTTGATGCCAAGGAACGTGGCAGTTGCCGAGTTCCTTTTCTCTGGGACCTGATGATGCAACGGGTTCGTTGTTCTGGCATCTGATCCGCTGTGGAAATGGAGTGGGATGAATGTGTGGGTGGGAGGGATGAAGAGTTTGTGTAATGCGTGGTTGCTGAGACATTTGAATCGTGAGCAACTCGAAAAAGAATGAGATGGCTTTAGGATCTTGATTAATCAAGTCTAGAAGGATCGATGAGTATATAAACAGCAGAGTTTGGTAGATCAGAACAAGTCAAGATGTTAAACATATCCAACCTCCAGCTTCAACACGCAGCTCTTCAACAACCAAATCTTCAAAGTAAACCATAAATCCCCTGGTCCCTGATAACGAATCACCCACACACACTCACGCTACCGGTTGACGCATCTCTCGGCACATCGCTTCCGTCGGCTGGCCCAATATCGTTCTCTCCCCCGGGCAGCTAAGCCAAAGAGCCGCCGCGCCCACTTCCCAGCTGGGTCTCGGTTTACCGGCACGCTCTTTTTTTCCTACCTACCTATACATAAGTCTAGAGTCTGCACCATCAGGGTAGTGTCGCGTCTTTTTTCACAAAGAACCGGATTTTTTTCTCTCGAAATCACGGAATCTGTTTATATTCGACATAACATATAAACCCAAGGTTCGCTGGTTCACGATCCTCTCACTCATCTGCAGGCCAAGCATTTTCTGTGGCACAACACAAGCGAATAGATACTAGCGCATCATCCAAGCTCTTGGCATTCAAACCCTCCGCTCGAATCGAATCGCTCCTTTGCCCTTGTTCGCTTTCCTCTTTGGGGAATTTTCTTGGTCTTTGGAGATACAACGATCTTGGCATTTTTCACCTTGTTGGACAAACCACAACAACTTATACGATACTTTATCCCTGAGCGCCATTCGCACTTTTTCTCGAAAACATGGCGGACGCTGCTGATAGCTGCAATGGCGACCCCGTCGATCTCGGCCACAAGGGTCTTCGAATCGGCGCCATCTTCATCATCATGGCATCTTCACTCATCGGCGCCATGTCCCCCATTATCCTGGCGCGACAGAAGAAGATCCCCGTCCCCAAGTTTGCATTCTTCATCTGCAAGTTTGTTGGTACCGGTGTTATTATAGCGACGGCGTTTATGCACCTGTTGGTGCCCGCCGTCGAGAACTTGACCGACCCTTGTCTCGAGGACCGGCTTGATGGATATGACTGGGCTGAGGCGATTGCTCTCATGACTGTCATTGTCATGTTCTTTTTTGAGATGCTCGCTACTAGGTTGACCAACGATGATATGGAACACAACCATAAGACCGACATTGATACCGATCTTGACCCTGCTATGGATGTCGCCAAAAAGTCAATCAGCCCCAAGGCCGAGGGACTCAAGCAGGCGACTGATGTTGAGATGGGTCAGCGACAGCCTGGTTTTGCCCCTGTTGGTGATAGCCACCTTGCCCACGGTCGAGAGCACAAGGAGGGTGATTCTCAGGGTGGTCTCGCTGGCCAGCTCCTCGGTATCTTTATCCTCGAGTTCGGTGTCGTGTTTCACAGTATTTTTATCGGTCTCACCCTCGGAACCATTGGCACCGACGAACTCAACGTTCTTCTCATCGTCCTCGTCTTCCACCAGATGTTCGAGGGTCTCGGTCTCGGCTCCCGACTGGCTGTCGCTCCCTGGCCTAGCAACCGCCAGTGGATGCCCTACCTTCTCGGGTTCATCTTTGCCCTTTCCACCCCTATTGGCATCGCTGCTGGAATTGGTGCCAAGCCCAACAATGCCAGTGACCAGAAACTCGTCAACGGTATTTTCGATGCTATCAGTGCTGGTATCTTGATCTACACTGGTCTGGTTGAGCTCCTGGCCCACGAGTTCATGTTCAACCCCTACATGCGCCGTGCCCCTCTCAAGATCCTGTTGACTGCATTTGCCTGCGTTGCTTTTGGCGTTGCAGTCATGGCTGTCCTTGCCAAGTGGGCTTAAAAAAGAAAGATTATGGAATGATTGGGTCAGCCTGGCTGACTTGAGTTGAAGAGGTGGACGTGGTGGATGTAATTGGGGGGTTTGACGCTTGCATCAGCCTGCTTTCTAGTGATACCTCTCTTTTTTTTTTTCATAGCATATTAGAATTACATGGGGAATTGAACCATGGTTACCTTCTAAATCTCAACCTTACTCCGTAGTTTATTTATTTTGAAGTTGCTATGCCTTTGGTTCTTTGGTTCTTTGGTGTGTTGGTGGCTGTCAGTCGTTAACTTGGCCTGTACTGGTAGGAGTAAGCCAACGTACGAGTTCTCTAGTTCTACACATAGAAAATTCAACGAGGTATGAAGACAATGCCTTTTAATTACAACGCAGAGATCTGCATGTCCTCACTTACACGCCTGCAAAATCATGTGCTGGTTTCCTAACTCGGACGCTGCGAAGATGGCCCCACTCATACATACAGTGCATCACCCGCAACAAACTGTGTCGCCAACACTGTCATTAGTCATCATTCTGTGGGCCACCCGCTAGGGCCGCAAACCCTACCCTGAAAAAGTTCACGAGTTCGAGATAGTCGAATTGCTTCAGCCCGAGCTAACCAACCGACCACGTTCGACATCTCAACCACCCAACGCACCACCCCAATTCCCCCTCCATCCCTCCCATCAATACCGCAAAAATGGCCGGCGGAGTTACCGTGCGCGACGTCGATGTAGGTCCTCCCTGAAAAACAGAATCACAGAAGCGACACTTTCGACGAAAAACCCACAAACTTCTCGACGACTTGGCGACACAATCTTCCAAGAGAAACCGCCTGCCTTCGCATCACGAGCCGCCCCAGCGCGAAAGAAGTTTATACAATAACTGACCGCTGCGTCGGGACGCTCGATGCGATGTCGCAGGTCGGGAACAAATGGGATTGAGGAGCAGGCGCGAGGGGGTCGAAAGACTTCTGACGACGGAATCATTGCTAATGGGTATTGTGTCTCCAGGCGCAGAAGTTCATCACTGCCTATGCTGCTTTCCTGAAGCGCCAGGGCAAGCTGCCCATCCCTGGTAAGACCTCGTCACCCAAAAAGTGCTGAAAATGCCTACTAACTCTGACTTCAGGTTGGGTTGACACCGTCAAGACTGGTGTCGCCAAGGAGCTTCCTCCCCAGGACATTGACTGGTTCTACGTCCGTGCCGCCTCCATCGCCCGCCACGTCTACCTCCGCAAGACTGTCGGTGTTGGCCGCCTCCGCAAGGTCCACGGCACTGCCATCAACCGTGGCTCTCGCCCCTCCAAGCACGTCGACGCCTCTGGCTCCGTCGACCGCAAGGTCATGCAGTCCCTCGAGAAGATTGGCGTTCTCGAGCAGGACGAGGAGAAGGGTGGCCGACGCATCACCCAGGCCGGACAGCGTGATTTGGACCGAATTGCCCAGACCACCGCCGAGGCCGAGGAGGAGGATGAGGATGACGAGTAAAAGAAAAATTTTATGCAACCAAAAACTTGCAGGGTAGCAATGGATTTGGGGGCGTTGGGTCATTAGATTTTGTCATGTATGAATGAGATTCCCCCGACAATGGGTCAGGTCATTCGGTTTGCTCAATTAGGACCCGTCCACCTGTCGTTTCACTCCTGACTTGCTGTGAATGCTCTCGGTGAATGTGATGCTGCAGATATGTGAATGCCGTCAACTCATTTGGTGGGGGGTTGAACCCCTCTCCTACATTCATTAACTTTGCAACCCGTCACCTCTTACTCCGACTCCCTCTGCCGCATTTGAAGCCATCACGAGGACTGGGCTGCTCACGAGCGGTCAGTCTTCTTTCTCAAAGAAACTCATCGTTGCTGTTGCTGCGTGAGGCTCTCGCCTTGAGCGCCTATTCCATCGTTGAAGCTTGATGCTTTCGCTTTGAAGGTGCATCTCCTCCAAGTTGGAGGCTCTCACCAAGTAACACAACTCCGACCCTCGCTCAACTCCTTCATCGCCAGTCGATGCCTGCACCGGGCCTTTTCATGTTTGAGTTTACTATTTATTCTGTATTCGTCTTTTATTCATGTTGTGAAACTCTTCTCCTTCTCGAGTTCCCTACTCGTCCTCTCGCTGAGCGAGTGCGAGTGGTGTAAGTGTTTCAGGAGTCTCTGTGCTCACACAACTCCCCTCTTACCCACAAAGGATTCCCAAAAGAATGCGCTCATCGATGTGATTAAGTGCCTCAGACTCTGTTAACATTCTTTCCTTTCTGGCTTTCTTCCTATGTGAGTGCACACCAACTCTTGACTTGACTCAGAAACTCATACACTTCTAAGCCAAAACCACAACTCCACTCACTCTCACTTCGCGATACACACCCTCTTAAGAGAAGCCAACAATGTCAAACTTCCAAGAGGTCATCGAGGTGCCTCCCACCTTCCTGTCAAGCATCGAAACCCAACCTCCCCCCATCTACTTCCACCATGTCATCGACACCGAAACCGCCACCCTCAAGGTCATGGTCCTAGGCGCCAACCTCACCTTCACCTTTACGCACAAGCGCGCACTAAAAGTCGTCAGACCATCTCAAATCGCGAAACAGCTCGAGAACAAGACTACTGGTTTCCTCGCCCTCGTTACACGTTCCCGCGAGAGAGTTGTCCTCGTGGCAGCAGAGTCTGGACACGGCGCAGGACGCTTTGGTGATCTTTTGGATCCGCAGAAGGGTGTGCTTAGAAACGACATCTGGACTAGACGTGTCATTGCCTTTGGAAAGACTCTCGGGTTACGCATGAACCGCCCCTTTGATGGTATGGGTCGTGCGGCTGTCGCTAAGGTTGACGGAGTCTTTCTTGGCTCTCACGTCGAGGTCAAACTCGCAGTCCACGGTATATGCGTCCTGCTTAATATGTTTGGCATCACGAAGGACTATGACAACATCACTGTCGAGCAACTTCAACGACTTCGAACTGCGCGCTGGGAGGATGGGTCGCGACCAATCTTTGAAGTCTACTTCTCTCGGAAGCATTGTCATCCTTGCAGAAGTTTGGTTCAGAAACTCTCTGAGATGACAGGAGTGCCTATTCGGCTCCTGTGGAAGCATCGGCTTATCCCCAAGACGTACGCTGTCACTTGCAAACCCTTAGGTCCACGAGCACGAGACGACCCTGAACCCGAGGTGATGGTATGTGACAGCCAAGACATGGACTTTGGCGACGAATTATCCGATGCAGAAACTATCTCAGACGGCGAGCTTGAGACTATTGACACAATCGACCTCACAGAGGTTGATCACTCAGAACAAATCGACGCTTACATCGACGGCCTGGCTTATCGAGTTGGCCAGATGCGAGAGTCCCCTGAAGGCGTGACGGCCGCTATCGTCGAGTTCGCCGCCACAGTAAAGCGACAGAAGCAAAAAGCCGCCGACATCCCCAAACCTCTCCCTGCGACGCCGGTCATAGAAGATCCAGCTCTTGCTAGGGAGCAACACACGTGGCCACCCGCACAACGAACATTCTTCCCTGATTCTCAGACACGAAATGGTAGAGCGAAGAGTAGTTCGCCATCTATCGGTCGGGGACGTGTCCAGAAGCAAAAGGCTCCGAGACGACTGAACATGAAGATCCCGGAAACGATTGTTCTGGATAGGGATAGTGAGCCACCGCGAAGAAAGTCTAGAAGCAAGTCCAAGGGCCGCCAGCGTCCGACTCGGGCTTTCTACTGAGTTGTTTTTAATCTGGAGATGATGGCTTGTTAAGGGGTCATGTTCTCAAACCACAGGGACTGAGATGAGATGAGACGAGGTTATCAGACGAGACGAAGAGGACTAGATTCCCCGGGAGGATTGTGTATGAAATTATCGAGTTCGTGGTCTATCCGCATTAGATCCTTCACATGTGCTAATACCCCTGTAATGTAATTGTATCTATACCAATACCCAACATGTTGCCCTGTGAGTCGCAACCACCATCGTACATCAACATCCTAGTTATTACTTCTCCTCCCCTTGAATGTCTTGAAGTATCTTACGGAATCCCTCAGCCATCTCCTTCAAAACAACGTTTACATCCGGAGCCTCAGGTCCCTCCTCCATCTCTCGAAGCGCCGCCTCAAGTGCGACCTCTCTTGCCTTCTCTGCACCTGCTACCCCCGTCTTACCCATAGTCAAGGTATGCTTCACATCCTTTCCATGTCGGAGAGGTCCCTTTGGCGTGCCTGGGGTGATGGCTGTATCTTCTAGGAGACTCTGCCAACGTGAGAGGTACACCCCTGGCCCTGACATGTTGTCAGAGTCTGAATCGTCAGAGTCGATGATGCGTTGGAGACGACAGATCGAGAGAGCCTCTAGCTGGGCGAGATACGCAGCATGATTGTCGAGGGCGTTGAGGACAGGTTGTTGAGAAGTCTGCGGAAGTGACCGAAACAGCTCATGGAGTCGTTCGTCCATGGTGCTCATGTCGCTCGTACCATTGGCCTTATTAGCATTGGCATTGCCTTCCTTGCCTGGAGTTTCGCAAGGTTTCCGCTCTTGCTGAAACTTGAGAACAGCATCCTTTGCCCACACCCTCATCTCACTCCACACATCCGGACACGACGCCGCAAGCGAGTGAACCCACTTATACATGAGCCCTCGGTTCCTCATGAGCAAATCGACATAGTCATCCACGCTCGGCATCCTCCCAGGCCTAGCCTCGCCACCCATCATGGACTTGAGTGGCGTCGAGGTGCCTGCATCGGCCTTCTTGGGCTTGCTGGTCTTGATAAAGTCGTCGATAAACAACTGACCTGCCTCGACGTGCTCGCGCAGGTCTACCTGGGAATGCACCGTGCGGAGGATTGGCTCATACGCGGCAAATACGTCCTTGACCGCCGCGGTGAAGAGGTCAGGGGGCTGCCGGCAGAACGCGGTTGTGATGTTTTCGCGGTCTCGGACGGATAGCAAGGCGGAATAGTACTCGAGGCACTGAGCGTGCTTTTGATCGGTGAGCTCACTCGTCAGAGCCGGGTTGGAGCCGTTGAAAATGGCGACGATGATGGACTGAGAATGCTTTGCACTGGCCTTCCTCACAGTCTCATGCTCAGCACGGCCTAGGGCGATGTACTGCCGGATCGCCTCGAGCATCTCATCACTCGGTCGTTCCTTGGCTTTCTCAATCTTGTCGGCGCCCTTGCGGAACTCTCCCGCGTCCCAAGATAACACGAGAGATATGATGCGCTGCAACAAGTTCATCCCATCGTCAGCATTAGCCGTCAAGCCGATCCAGTTAGTGACACTCGTGACGCTCAGCTTAGCGAGAAGCAGGCGCATCATGGCACTAATCATGGTAGCAGCGTTTCCCATCCGCAGGGTCTGCTTAACCATCTTGTAGGGGATAAGGTTGTGGACGTTTTCGAGAAGCTTGAGCAAGTATTGGCCCTCAGGGGAGAGGACAAAGATGTGATGAATCAAGGTGGCGAGGCTGGACTGCGTTTAGTGATGAACTTGCTCGACGAGAGGAGACATACTGAATAATTGCATACTCTGCCGCAGCCTTGATGACTGGAGAGTGAGACTCGAGGTCGTCAGTCTTGATGAAGTGGTCAAACATTTCGTCGACCAAACCTCCATATACCAAACCCTCCACAACGTCATCCCAAGCTCTCACGAGGTCCGCAGCCTTGGTTCGATCATACTCATCCTCTTTACCACCCTTTGGCTTCATCTCCGGCCTGTGTGTTCTCTTAACGCCGCCCAAAGCTCCTCGACCGATCATCTCGAGCAGCCCGCTAGCTCCAGTCGCTAACACCTTCCTGGTTCCCAGGGCACCTTTATCGTAGCTCTCGGACAACTCGGCCTCTCCTAGTCTCGCCAAAAGCCCCTGTACCCTAACGGACCAGTACTCCCGCGGTAGATCCCTCACACCCGGGAGGGGTAACACAAACCGCGAAAGCATCGTCTGCAGAACAGGTGACTCCGACGGCCCGACATCCTCCTCTTTGCTCTCACTGACAGCCTCACTGACAGGCTCCTTACCAGCAACCGGAGTCCTCGACCGCGGCGTCGCAGGTGTAGAAGTAGCGGGCGTTCCAGCCCAGCTCCTCCAACCGGTGCTGGGCGCGGGAGCCGGCGGAGCCTGAGGCTCAACCGTGGTTTTGGCAAAGGGATACCCATAGCCCGTCACGGCGTCGGGAAACTTGAAGCCCTCGATCTCTGCGTACGTCTCATGATGGGACAGAATGTCAAAGAGCGCATGAGTCTGCTCGGGGGCCAGAGTGGCAGGCGTCATGGCCATGGTGGCTGCTGTTGCATCGAGGGGTCCCTCCACGTGTGTATGTGGATGTAGGTCAGGATAGTAGCCGGGGTGAGAGATGCTGGTGGAGCGAGAAATCCTTGTCTGTGAGTACCTTGACTTGGCCTTTGATTCAAGGTTGCATAAGATACTGGAATTAAGGCAAAGGGCTCTTATGAAACACGCCTATGTCGTTTTGAAGAGTTATCGTCTTTGAATAAGTATAGAGTAAAGTTGTTTAGCTTGATACCTACTCAACTCGAGTCGCAAGCGGTGACGTCGTCTGAATGGCCCACCCTTGACCTCAACGTTGTCTAGCCTGTTTAGGTCTAGCACCCCGCCGTTTTAAATCCTGCCGAGGGCACTGTCCTTCAAGTGTAACCTTCTTTTCCTGAATCACCACCTCACCAACCTTCATGAACTTGGCTCTCGGTCTTCGCCCTGAGTCTTCACTATCATCATCACCAAGATTGTATATCGACTAAACTTTTCATCTTATCACTGTGGCAGCTACTATAATCACTCATCACACTTAGTCTAGCAAATTTTGTCTGAACAATGCGTATAGTCATTAACAAAGGAAACGGTCATAACTAAGTAATTATCTCTCCACCGTTTTTCCTAACCAAGTACCAGTCTTTTTCTGCTTTATCCATCCATCTTCATTACCGTCGTGGTATCAAGAAAACAAGTCAAAACAAAACTCAAAATCCTTCACCATGGGTATAACGTCAACACTTCTTCGCTGTCTCTCCCCTGCCGCCTGTCCGCATCTTCATCACCGTCTCTCTAGATGGTGCTGATGGGCTGACCAGTGGGCAGGCCCTGGCCACCATACGCGGTGTGACCACTTCCAAGACCGTAGCCGTTGCCAGTCTGCGAATGCTTGCCGTTGCCGTTCAGGTGATAACCGTTGCCGTTACCATCGAGGTCCTTGCCGTTCAAAGCACCATTACCGTTACCGTGGCTGTGACCGTTGCCAGTGTGGGTATGACCGTTGCCCGCCTGGTGGCCATTACCGGGGAGGTAAGAGCCGTTTCCAGCGTCAGGAGACCTGGGGCCAACGTCAGAAACGGGATGAGCCTTGCGCTGGATCTTGGGCGCAGGAGGAATGTCGGTGCTCTTCTTGGCAGAGCCAATGGAAAAGACAGGGCTCTCCCACTTGTCACCCTTACGGGCAAGCTCCCTGTACTCGGTAGCCTTGGTGCTGATGCCACCAGGGAGGGAGATGTCGGGGAAGATGCTGTCCTCCTTGGTCATGGCGATGTTGGCCTTCTTGTCCTGAGTAGCATCCGCGGCCTTCTTCTTGCCCTTGGCCATCTGCTGCTGGGCGGCAGTGTAGTAGCGGTTGTAGATGTTGGGGGCATTCTGAGGATCGCTCTTGGCCTCAGCGGCGGCGCGCTCCGCCTCCTGCTTGATCTGGAACATGAAGGCATCAAGCTTGTTACACTGATCCTTGATGGCCTTCTCAACTGCCTTCTGCAGAGGGGGGCGGATGGCCTTGAGCATGAGTGGCTTGACCAGGGCGAAGAGAAGCTTGTGGCTTGACTTCTTGATCTTGATCTGGAGCTTCTTAAAGTCGACATCAACCTTGTCAACCTTGAAATAGTTCTGGCGATCCTTCTTGTCAGCGGTCGACACCTTCATCTTGAAGGAGAAGCCATCGCCAGGCAAGATGATGTCGGCAACACCAGTGTCGGTGATGGAAGGAAAGCCCTGCTTGCGCTTGACGTGGAAGCTGACGTCGCGCAGATCCATCTGGATACCGGCCACCTTGACCTCGATGGTCTGATGGTTCTTGTTGGCAATCTTCTTGCGGCCCCAGCGGAAGTAGTGCTCGCTCGAGAGCTCAAAGACGTTGGGCGCAAAGTTGTCACTCTCCAGAACCAAGTTCTCGATGATGGCATCGAACTGGGAGTCGGTGTACTCGATGCGAGGAATGGGAATGTAGGCAATGTTCTCAAAGACAGCCGGGAGAATAACATCCCTCAGATCCTTAATAAGATGAGGCTTGAAGACTGGCTTGCCGTCAGCATCGTTGCCGAGATCCTTGAAGAGCTTCTGAAGAGAATGGGCGAATGCATGGTTCTGAGCATCCTGATCGAACTGATCGGCAAGGAACTTGATCTCATCGACGACACGGTCGGTGTGACCACGGTACTTGTCGCGGAGAAGGAATCGGCCCTGCTCATAGAGTTGATCCCACTCGCGAGTAGACTCGTCCTCCAGGATGTAGCCCTGCTGAAGCAGGCAACGACGGATGTAAGAGTCCATGGCCTTGAACCAGTCCTTGAGCTCCCGGTCTTTGTCAGCATCGCGGTAGATCTGGCCGATCGAGTCCCAAAGATCCTCAGTCGAGGTACCGTTGGCAAATCGCTCAATAATAGTGCGCAAATCATACTCGGCGGCAGAGAACCCGGATCGGGCCTCCTTGGCAGTACCAGCGGATCCCTGACCGTAGGTGCGGCCGTGCTTGCCGTAGGTCTCAGCCAGACGGAGGAGAGTCTGGATGGCCTGGGAGTAGTCCTCGTGCTGCTGGCACTCAAGAATCATCTTCTTGAGGCGCCAGATGATCTGGTCCTTGCGCTCCTGGGGCATCTTCTTGTCGAAGTACTCACGGGCGCGACGGCGGTACTCCTCGTTGCGCTGAAGAATGTTCTGCTTGGTCTCGGGGTCGACCTTGTCATTGAGCTTAGCATCAACGGCCTGCTTAGCAGCACTCTTTCCAGACTGAGGGTCAACGTTCTGGCCAACCTCACGGGCGCCAGCGAGGGTGCTAGGACCATCAGTGACCTGAGAGTAAGTGCCCTGCTGTCCCTGCTGTCCCTGCTGTCCCTGCTGTCCCTGCTGTTCCTGCTGGGGAACGGCAGCATTGAGACCAGCGGCGGCAGTGTCCTTGACGTCCTCCTTGGGGTTTCCACTGTAGAAACCCTTGGCCTGCTGCTTGAAGCTGTCTTTGGAGAAGTCGGGAGCTTCATGCCAGACATTGTCCTGAGCAGGCTCGTCAATCTGTCGAAGCTGCTCATCCGAGGGACGGACGCGGGCAGCAGCGTTGGTAGCGGCATCGCCAGCCATGTCGCGGAAGAGGATAGTGGAATCCTGGACTTGGTGGGTTGTTAGTATAATCCTCGATTTGCGCTGGAGAGCAACTCACGAAGTTTTCGGAACTGGCCGTTGGTGATCAGAAGAGTACCAAGAGTCCTCAGGCCGTTGAGAGCCTCATCGCCGTCCTTCTTGGCAGCATCCTTGCTGAGGGGAGCATTGGGAGTGTTGACACTCTTGGCGTCAAACTGAGTGGTCTGCCAGACAAAGTCCTGGATCAAGTTGCCCTCATTCTTGGATAGAAGAAGGTACTTGGCCTGCTGAATAACATCGCGCGCATCCTTGACAAGAATCTTGCCTTCCTCAGAGAGCTTTTCGTGAGGGTTCGAGAGGGCGCGAGAGGCGAGGAAGCTGTTTAGTGCGACGTCGATTTGATCGTTCTGAAGTATTGTTAGCGTGCTGCTGTCGATGGCCGAAGTTGCAACCACGTACCGAAGGAATCTTGCCATTCTGGAAAGCAGAGGCAATACCGTAGAGCTGAAGCTTTCGGTTGACGTCGGCCTCCTTCACCTCGGTGTTTGTGGGCTTGTTGACGTTGGCGTTGGAAGTCATGTTGGCGACAGACTGTGAATGTGTAATATTACGCCTCGAGATGGTGCTGGGTGTTTTGGACCAGGAATGGATGGAACGACTTCGATAGGGCTAAAATGTCGATGGCCAGAGATGTGCTGTATGTGTTGGTCCTTGAGGCAGAGGAAGTAATGGGAGAGCGGTTGGTATCCTAGGTGAGGGTATGGGGTATCACAAAGAGGTTGGTATTATTCGTGAAAAGGTAGGGTTGGGTATAATTGCTTGCGACTTTTACAAAGTAAAAAGATGAAAGTTGATGTTTGATGGGATGATGAAATAAGGAAAGAGCTGCGAGAAGCGAGTAGGAGAGATGCTGGATTACATATACTTTTTGAAAGTTGGTGACAGGCAGGCACAAGCACAGTCAGTACCTTGATCTGGCCTCGAGTTACACACTGACACCCTCCATCCTGATCGCATAGGCCAAGCGGGAGTTGGCTGGATCCGGGGCCCCTTCGTCTTGGAGGGAGTGACGTTGACGTTTGCTAAGGGAGAACGAGCCGCTGATCGAGGACGTCATCGGCCAATTTGTCGCAGAACCACTAATTAAGATACCTACGCTGCGGTACCTACCTCGACCAAGCCGGATGCCTACTGTGTGAACTACCGCACGCGCTACCCGTCAATTCGCCATGATTTGATTGCTAGGGCTGCTTTCATTTCCTTGCTTGCTCTGGCTGGCGGCTCTTTGCTGTCCCGGAGCGAACCCTACGGCGCAGCAGGGGCCAAGCAGATATTCATGGATCCTCAGTCAAGGGCAGCAGCTGAAGAGCAAAGGGTTTCCCTTCTTTTTTTCCTGCTACTGCAATCACGTCCAATTGGAGGTGGCGCCAGGCGCCAGGGGAAAAGAAACGGCGGCGTCGAGCCTGTTTGTTCATGATGCTACCTCAACGATGTTCTTGGCCCCTCTCTCTACCAAACAAAGTCAACGGGAAGCTCTTGTTTCGGCCACCAAACGCTTGATGCTCTCCTTTCACCAGCCACCTCGGTTTAATGGTTCGATCAAAGAGTGGGTTGCCCTGGTAAAACGGCCCAGACCCAAAATCAAGCGCTGTTGCTGCTCCATCACGTCTCACCGACCCCTGGCTACCTCGCCGAAAGCAGGGTGAGACGAGAGCAATTCCTGTCTGCTTGCGCCTCAACGCTTCGGTTGTGAAGTGGACACCTGCTGGTGATGCAGGTCTGACTCTGTGTGTCGACGTCTTGTGTTCTGCTATCGAGATGATGCTGTTCTGGATCAATGGATGCTACTGTACTTTGCTAGGCAATTTGGAGCCGTCTCCCGGATGATTGACATGATCTCCAGCCCCATGGTTTCCCTCTCCACCCTTAGACCTGGTAGTTTGGAAAATCAACAAGGGCAGGCCTGGGAGGCTCTCAATATTGTCTAATCCATCTCTACTTGACCAAACAGGGATCCTTTCTTGGCTGGAATGGGCTACAGAAGAGCTAGCACAGACTGATCTCTTGGTGTCGTCCCCACCAAATGGAAAAAAGACCAAGCCATCATGGACCTCTACCTTGAGCCTTAGCATCGTCATCACCCATGGATTTTACCCAATAACACGTAATCGCCAGCTGCTCCCTCGCGTGAATGCCCTGCTTTCTCCCATCTCATTTAATCGCGTCGCGTGGCCTGATGCCGCGATCGCATCAGAAGCTTGGCTCGCTGGACGTGAAAGTGAGCGATCCATGACGTCACCGACTTGACCAACCTCTACACCGTTGGTACCTCGAGCACACCTCAATCCCCAGCCCAGCAATGTCGTCCGAGCGGAAGTCCAAGAGGTAATACGCCAGTCACGGCGCCTCGACTGGGCTTGTCGACGTCAGGTACCCCTTGGTGATGTGCTGTCCAATGCTCCCCATCACGATGATAATCGTGATCCATTAGGAAATCCTCGAGTCAAGATGGTGTCGACCTGGCACCGATTCCGACTGCCAGCAGGACAAGTTGTCCCATTTCCAGACCCAATGATTCCATTTCCGCAGATAAAGTCTCCACGCTTCCAGTAAATCCCCGACCAGAAATGCGGGAGACGGCGAGCATGTGAGAGAAGCTTGGCCATCGCAGCTGAAGGGTGACGTCTTGGTGGTTGTCTCGGCAGGAATTAGCTCTGAGCCACTGAACGCATCAAAACACACACGATACTTTGCGGTTCCCCTGCTTTTTCTTTTCAAACGGACCGGCTCTGCAGGAAGCTCTCCTCTCAGCCGCAACCCAAACCATCACGCCTCACCTTGCCTTCTCCGGCTGCGGGAGGCTGGCAATCATTGCCCAGTCGGGGGCTCGAGACAAACTCCCAGAGCACGACGTGCTTTGTCGCACGCGCGTCGCATCTAGATTTCCGTCTAGATTCACCACCTCGTCTCGTGAGGCGCCACAGGTAGCACTGCCGATGGCTGGGACGCACACATGGCTTCATGGGATGCAGGCTTCCATGTTATTAGAGGCAGCAAGTCTAAGGAGAAGGATTGGGCCTTCAATCCTCCCGTTCATACCGTGAAAGAGGGGACCCTGTAAACTGAACGGCACTGAAGTCTGTGCGACATGGTCCTTCCCATTGCCAAGCCGGGAGGTCTTACTACGGGTGGTGCAGCCCGGGCAAACATCCCCGGCATCCATGCTCAGTGAAAGAGGAGGCTCAATCAAAGTGAAGGCAACCGAATATTGGACCGTAAAAACAATTTCAAGTTCATTCTTTAATAAACGTAGGCGAGCTGTTGAGGAAAAAAGGTTGTATACCGAGACAAGATTGCAGCTAGCAGTCAAAAGGGATTTTAAGATCACCCAAGAATGATCTGGCAATACTACAAACACAATAAAAATCACACCTCTTCAGTATCTTCGACGTTTGAACCCCTATTGTAGAGCTTAACGGTCTTGCTTCAATGACTGCATGGCTAGCATCGTCTTGCCTCCGGTCCTTGGACCCACTTCCCCAGATCTCCGCCGTGGGCACCTCAACCCCGCAACGGAGCATTGACGACGCGAGAATGGGATATAAGCATCTATGCCACAGCAGACGATACGAAAGAATAATGATAACAGGCTCAATACAATTTTCGGCTCTGTGGAGGAACAAACTCATCTATGTGGTTTTCTCACGGTATCTTCTTCGGCCATGATTGATTCTCAGCAATGGATAAGCTCACATTAACACATAGGGCATTGCCGGCTGATAGCTTAGCGACCTCACTGAAGAACATGAAACACCAGACCAAGTGACCAAAAACAAGCGAGTGCAAGGATGCACAAAGCCTCTTTATTCACCTCTGAACGCCATCTATGCCATTTGTAATGCTAAGCGCATCCCTAAATTCCAGATCATCAAGCTTCGTTACGATGTAGGGTTCTCCTTGGACCCGAGCCCGTTGAAGACGCTGGCCTTTACCTGGCTCGCAATCAGACCAGACCGTTCCTTGGTGGCGATGAGGTTTGCGTCCTTGGCCAACTTTTCCACCGCCTTGTCGGTGTTCTTCGCTCCACGACTCATCATCATGCTCTGTGCTGCCTGATTGCGTGCTATGCCCATAGTAGCTTCCTTGATCTTGGAGCTCAGGTCTAGGACCTGCTTGTTTCCGTAGTCGCGGTTTGTGAGAAGGGGATTCTGGCTAAGAGTCTGGACCCAGTACTTGTGCCAGAGAAGTTCGAGGAGATGTGCATCAAGCGAGCTCTTGAAGTGTGAGACCTCGAGGCTGTAGTAGCGGCTCGAGTGAGCGCCAAACTCGGCCGCCTTGGCTAGTGGTACTGCCTGGAATCCATCGGCGGTTGTGCCGCCAACAGGGTCCGCCTTGTAGTGGGCAGGGTAGGTTCTGAAAGCGCCAATCTCCACCTTGCCGGCGTTGATGGTGCGGTCAGGGTCAATGACAACAGCCAGGAAGGGATCCTGGAACTGCTGCTGCATGGCCTCTGTGTCTACATCGATACCGCTGAGCCAGCATCCATAGCCGGGGTGGCTGTGATACCAGCCCACCACGTTCTCCTGACGGCCCTGCGCTCTGCAAAGGTCGAGGTATTCAACAAGATATTCGTTTGCCTCATCCTGGGCGTTGACTCGTGTCTCTGTTCCTTCTACGGGAAGGCGGAACGCATCGGTGACGACAAAAGTGTCCTGATCGATGTAGCCCTGCATCAGGCCCATGACTTCGAGATTGCCGCCAGAGCGCGCGTGCATGGTCATCTTGATGAGAGCGGTGGCGCTGATTCGGACATGTTTGAAGTAGTTTGGATCCTTAGTCCACGGTTTAGCATCGGCGATAGTCTTCTGAGCTGCGGCATCGTAGTTGTAGAGAGCGTCGCGTTTGGGATCGATCAACTGGACATTATTGTCCAGCTCTGTCGTCTGTGTCAGTACCGTTTAGTGAGTTGGGGATGAGTTTTTGGAGCATACCCCACGCTTTCAAAGCTGATGCCTCCATCATGACAACCCCAGGTCCTTCCTGGATATGGCGAGTGATGGAGATACAGAGGACGAGTTGATGTTGGTGATCTAGGCAGTCGACTGAGCCAAGAGCGGGGCTCTTCCTGGTGGGCTTATCGATAAGAGCTCGGTGCTCCACCTTAAGCTGGCATCTTATCACCAACTCTACAAGCATCTCATCAATCTTACAAACACATTGGTCATTACTTGAATTCTTAATTGAACGAAATAACTTGATTAAACTACTAAGACTCATAAAACGTCATCCAGAGAAGCCAAAAATTACGCAACATGACTTAAACCGCACTCCCTGGGGCAGCGGTAGTGGCTGGGACAGAAGAGTACACTGGACGCTGGATTCCAAGGCGGAACCGGGGAACTCGGTCCATGCGGTTCAGAGCGGTAGTGGGCATCCTCAGCACCGTCTCGCGGTACATGGTCTGCGTCTCCCACTCATATGAGCATCCGATGGCTCGCTGCATACCACCCTCAGAGGCACAGAACATGAGAGTCACGGGGGGTCTGACGGCCTCGAAGAGGGTCAGCTCCATGTTGTAGGTGTCAACAAGGGTGAAGATCTGGAATATGTCAGTTATAATGAATGGCACGGAAATTGGGGGGTTGACTTCTTACCCTCTTTTCACCAGGACGGGCATTCTTGGCCGCCTCAACCTTCATTCGGATCTCGGGGTCCTTGCAAGGGTCAATACCAACACGCTCGCCATACTCGTTAATGACGCTTCGGCTCAGAGGGCTTCCATGGGTGCTCCAGGAGAATCTCCCAAAGTTGCCGCCAAAGATGGCACGTTCGATGGTTGGGGAGTTGAGGTGACCCTCAAAGCCAAACATCTCAGCCTGGGTGTCGGCAAACTTGCCGCCATAGATGACTCGCACCAGACCAGGTGTGACCATCCAGATATAAAGGAATAGGAGCAGGAAAATCACACCAGGGGCGATGGTGCTTGCACCGTATGGGCCAGCCTGTGCGCCAGTGGCAATGAGAGCGATGGCGATGATGAAGAAGGCACCATTCCATTCGACGGCGAGACCAGCAAGCCATCTCTTCCAGGATGGTCCAGTTGACCAATAGACGGGGTAGAAGGTCTTCCAGCGGATGGAGATGCCCCAAGCTCCATCAATGACGATGGTGTCATTCTCTGCAATACCAGCCACCTGGCAGTAAGGAGTGATATCCCAGAGCGAGGACTCGTACGCATCCTCCATGTTGTACCATGGCTGATCCTTGTCCACAGGCAGAGTGCAGATGTAGCGCTCGAGGAGTCTATCCGAGTCATTGGCCAGAGACAGTCTGGAGAAAGCCTGGAAGGCAGTGTCGGTTCGGTCAACCTGGGGTCGAAGCCTCAGAAGACCCATGAGGGCATAGGCCTGGTCACCGGGAAGATACTCGGTTGTGTGACGGCTGTACAGACACTTGAGGGCGAGAACAGCTTGTTCCAGTCGGCTCAGGCTGATGGTGCCCAGGTAGTGGTCAATCAAGTGACGGGCCACATCTGGGTCCATATACGTCCAGACCTGAGCAGCGAACTGGTTCTTTGCAACCACCAGCGGAGACGACAGGTCACTGTCGCGAGTATAGATGGAGATGCTTCGGCCGGGGCTGAGAAGAACCTCGGGGAAGGTCCACATTCGGCTGCCCCATTCACGAAGGAGAGACTCCGTGTTGGCCTTGCCCGAGGACATCGCCGTCTTACCTCTTCCAACAGCGATTATCATACTGCTGGAGCCGCGAAGAACATCAGAGATGCGGTAGACCTATTGGCGTTAGTCAAGGTGGCAACGGGACGGGCCTGTCAGCACTTACATCAGACTCCAGCTCACTCTCATCACGCATGCAACTGCAGGCAATCCAGTACGCGGGCAGCTTCGCAGCTCGACAAGCAGTCTCGGCGATGTGATGGAGAGCCATCATGTCCTGCTCAGAGCTGTGACTAAAGTGCTCAGTCGAGTAAGCGACAAACAGGTAGGCCAGGTTGGCATCCCGACCGTCGCTGTTCTCCCACTCAACAACACTGCGGACGTCGACTCCCCTGTTCTCGTCGTTGAAGGGCTCGCGAAGGAAGCACAGGTATCGCGGGCGCAGCATGCGATAGACCTGGTTGTTCCGGGCCATGAGGGAGAGACCCTTGCGGTTCTCCAACAGGTTGCTCCAGACCTTGGCATCACCATGGTAGTTGTACAGGACTGGAGCGTAGCAGAGGTTTCGCTTGATAACGGTGGGTTTACCGTCCCAGAACTAAAATGGTTAGATAAATGCGCAGTGCTGAAGATAAAGGCAACCTACCACAAGAGCCATGGCAATGGCCGCAGGAAGAGCTCTGAGCACCATGATGCCCCAGTCCTCCCAGCTCTGGGGGTCATAGCTAAAGTCAATGACCCAGGTTGCGATTCGCACCTTCATAGGCGCAACCTTGCGTACATAGGTCCTCTTCCAAGTGGAAGTTCCTGGCCCTTCATAAATGTCATCGGTCGCTGCGACATACATGTTGCGAAGGTAGCCGTCATTGTGATGCAGATATCGATCGGACCGGGCCTTGTATGAGACACGACCAGCATAGTCGCGATGTCTCATCTTGGTCTCAGTGTCGGTAAAGTTGTACCCGGGCTTCTGGTACAGCACGGGATTGCGCCATCGAAAGACGCTTCGAGGCTCGAAGAAGTGACGGGAACCCTTGAGCTTGATTGGGAACTCCTTCTCGCCTTTCTGTTGTCAACATGTCAGCAAGCGCAATTGGGCGACGATTGGGAGAGAGCATTTACTTCGCCATCCTCGGAGCTATTCAGAGGCGACAGCGGCGTGGCAGACACGGGGACGATGGCACCTTTGGTTTGCTAAGAAAAGTTCAATTTGTGCCTATACGCAGAAGCAGCCACGGAAGAGCTTTACCATTGTTCCGTCCTGCTGTCCATTGCCTTGTCCTTGTTGCTGATAGACGACACCCTGCTGCCCACCATACTATCACAGTCAGCGATGCAAGGAGGCTTGGGGAGAGGCTAAGACAAACCATGGGCTGCTGCTGCTGTTGGTATTGCATGGTGTTTTGGTGCTGCACTTGTCCAAGGGGAATGGGCTGCTGTTGTCCTACAGGGACTTGATAACCGCCGGATTGAGCTGAAAGAGAGCTCGTGGGAGGTGACACGGGCTGTTGTTGATAGGGATGTTGGAAGGGCTGGCTGGGGTATGACTGGTATATCATGGTAAGAAACGTTGGGACGTTGCCAAGGGAATGGAATACTCACAACGACAGAACTGCCTGGAGTGTAGGCACCACCGTGCGCTTGGTGCGACACTGGGGGAGGCGGCTGCTGGTACTATGAAGTGTTGGCACAATACGACTTGGAGAAGTTCTCAGAGAGCAAGCTTACATTGACCACGTTGGGGTCGTAGGAGCCTCCGTGTAAGTGAGCCTTGGCGAGAGTCAGCAACAAGACACATCCGCAAGAAGAGGGGGACATACCATGGTTAATGTATGCGAATTATGAAGAGGCAAAGATAACGAATCACTCGCTGGCTTGAGGAAGGAAAGAAAAATAAAGAAAGGGGTCAAAGAGCTCGGGTGATCTCTCTGGCTATCTCTCTCTCGGATGGCCGCACGCTAATATGGTGACAGGACAAACCGAAAGGACTCTTGTCACACCAAGAGCTCCAAGGTGGAAAAGGAGCTGAGGCTCCATGAAATGCAGCTAGCCGTCTCGTGACGGTGCCTGGACGGGGCTCCATCATGTCTGCCTACCCCATGCCCATGAGTCCAAAGGGGCTGAAAGGTGCAATGTCCTCTCGCCACCGGAGACCTAGACCGTTTGGGGAACGGGGGGTGGTATTCACAATCTATGCATAGGACCACTCGCGTCGCACGTTGGATCAATCCCAAGGGATGGCGCATGTGATTGCTACTATACTCAACCTCCTGCAGTCCAGCCTCACGATGCGCCGGGCCGTGTGATAGGAGCCGACGTTTGCTTGCTACTGTAGGGGTGGAGCGGCTTGTTCCGTGGGCTCTAGGTCTTTGATATCCGACAGACTAGGAACTATTCAAAGCGGCTGAGCCCTGAGGTATGTCACTCCTGTGGATTATATTGGGTAGGACCTTTCAGCCGTGGCGTCACTTGTGCAAGTCGGTCGTGTGCCACGGCGCCAACAGTCTCGACCAGCCCTGCCAAGCAACGCAGCCTGGTTTGAAATGTTTACCGCCATCTGGCTTGTTCAGCCCTCCATCTTTCCGAAAGCGGCACGCCGGGTGAGGATACCTACAGCTAGGCAGGGGTAAACGGCAACGCAGCCCTACAGTCTCTCTGGAGGTGCGACGATCCGCCCGCGTAGTGAGACCGGCAAGGCCTCAGATGAGGGTTCGGCAGTTGTGATAGTGTAGAAACTAAGTTCGTAGTGAATAAAGAAAACCCCTGTCCCAGGGACCCCTGGCAAGTCCGAGATCCAGCCCTGAGAGCGGGCTCTTGGGAGATACACTAGACCAGTTGTCCGCCCAAGTGCAACCCAACCCAGGTGGTCGGGACGCGCTGAGTGGAGAGCAAAGAGGAACAATCTCAACTATCAAAAACTCTACGCAAGGAGACGAACGAATGGGAGCTTCTACATGTCCGTTTTTGGTTGCGCACAGCTAAAGAAAGCCCTGTATTTCCGTTCATAGACGGCGATGAGGCGTCTGCAGGCTGAAACATGGCGTCGGTCTAGACGCAACGATCCGTTGGGACTATTCGTCAAACCTGAACAAATATCTCCTGCAGATAATAGCTCGACGCCATGAAAATAAGTCCTAGATATGGTGACTATTCTTTGAGGGGATGCCTTGCGCCGGTTCGACGCCCCGTGGCTCGATAGTCCGAGACCCCTGAGTGTTGCGCGGCGGTAAGCATCCTCATTACTTGAAGACGGTCGAGGGGCGAACAAGTCAGTCAGGCTGGGTTTTTTGTCTAGCAAATATCCACAGAAACAAAGGTAGAGGCAATTCAATCATGTCGTGGACGCACAGAGACAGTCCTCACGATGCGTTTGCCCAGGAGGCGACGCAGACACCCATCACCGTCGCTTTCCCTCAATGGATGCTCAACATCTGGGAGGTTTCCCATGGTAAGAAGACGTTTTTCTTGTAGACAACTTAGTCGCTGATCAGTTGTAGATCACCCCGAGGGCCGTTGGTACCTGGAGCCAAATGCGCAGTGTCTCCGCCAAAAGGCGAGCTTGAGGATTGTGTAAGTTTGCGCCATCTGCAACTCCATGAATTGGGAATAACTACAGGAACGAAAGTATATAATTATTATCGAGACTTTAAATAACTGATTGTATCAGGTTTGCTCCTCTCGATCTCCCCCGTCGAGATGCCCTCGCGCAGAACCTCGAGCTCTTCGACATCCTCCACATCCCAGGAGACTTTACCAAAGAACGTCTCCAATCTGTTAGCCACAGCTTCGGAAGAAGCACCGACCGCAATGGCTCCAGCTCGTGGTTTCACTTCCTGTGCAAGAACATCGACATCAAGCAGGATGGATCGAACCCGCCCGAAGTGGATAACCGCGCCGCAACCATGGGATACCACATCTCGACGCTCCCGCAGGCCGACTACAGCTGGCACCGCGCTGGCTTCTTCCTCCGTGTAGAGAATGACGGGAGTACTACTCTGGTGTGCTTTGGTGCCGTGCCTAGAATCAGGCAGAGGATCAATGAGTTTGTCGCGGCCAAGGCGTGGCAGCACGTCGTGACGGATCCGTACATTCTGTTTGATCTGCTCTTTGAGGCGCTATACTTTGAAGTCGACGATACAGTCTGGAAGATGAACACTGTCTTTGGGCCTCTGGAACACGCAAGTCGTCCCCTCCCCTTAATTGTCGTCCCATTCTAACAGGAGCAGCTAATCCTCGAGTACGCCAACTCTAAGAACATTCGCAAGATGAGCTCCAAGATCCCCTTTGCGGCCATGCACAACTGCGCCAAGCACATCATCCACATCGCGGAGGCCATCGACTCGTGCATCATGCTCGTCGACGCTACTATCCGCAACGTCGGCAATCACGAGCACACGAGGCCCACGACCAACGAGCCTGTCCTGAAGCAGCTGCGTGAGACTCTCCAGTACCGACGCTCACTCTTCGACTCCAGCCAACTGCGTCTGAACAGTCTCCAGAAGCGCATCGACAATGCAATCACGCTTTCGTTTAACCTGGTGACGCAGCAGGACTCGATGGTCATGATCCAAGACTCCAACTCGATGAAGGTGATTGCCGCCATCACCATGATCTTCCTACCAACCACGGGCGTCGCCACAGTCATTGGCTCACAGCTGTTCCTGTCTGAGGCCCACGACGATGGCAAGACGTGGAACGTGATGCTGACGCCCCTGTTCTGGACAATGTGGTGGATCTCTATTCCTCTAACCATCTTTGTTGTTCTCCTGGCTATTATCTGGCACTGGTGGGTGCACACCGAGGCTCCTGTTGTAGAGGTACAGCAGGTCATCAAGAGAGCTGCGACTTTCAGTTCTTCAAACACCAAGAAGTTGGAAAAGTGATGGAAGCGTGCTTTTGAGCGTCGTTAGTGTTTCAACTAGTTTAATATCCCCATGTAATTCAAGACATTTCACTGATGAGCGTGCTGTTTTAAGTGGCAAGAGTGAAGCCGGTTCAAAGCCAGGCTTTTTATGTCTTTTTAAAGAAATGTACATGCAATGTAGGTATATGTACAAGAAGTTTCGAATACATGTACAACCCCAACGTTGTTCATCATGCCGACTGGCGGTCATGAGAACGAGACCTATCTACATCTTAACCCCCACAGCCAATTGTTGTCTGCATTTAGCAGGTGAACAGAGCAGGGCCAGGGATCTTGTAGGTGGAAGCTGAGATGACAGTTAGCAAGCATTCAATAGCTGACAGACAGATAGAACTCACCCTTGTAGGCGTCGTAGACGATGCCGGAGTCGTTCTGGGAATAGGCTCCAGGGAAACCAACGAGATCAGTGGGAACGGTCGAGCCGGCACCGACAACCTTGAGCTGATGGCAGCCGGGGTAGAACTGGGCTCCGGGGTACGAGTAGGCGGCGTGGAGGGCAATGATCTCGTGGCGGACGAGGTAGTATCCGGGCTTGAGGCAGCTAGGGATGGTGTAGTCGATGCCCTCGTTGTCTGCCTTCATGAGCGAGGTCTAAGATAATGTCAGTTTCTTAACTTCGACTTTTTAGAGACATGAAGCTTACAGCAGCCCAGTTGTTAGAGGTTCCCTCTCGTCCAGCCTCCTGAACCTTGAACCACACCTTCTCACTGGCAGGCTCCCAAGCATCGCAACCCTCATCAGGGCAACGAGCCATATAAGTCAGAACAGGACCGACATGAGAGTCAGGCCAGAGAGTCCAGCGAAGGTTGACAGTAGATCCAGCCTCGGCCTCGGCGTGCAGAGCAGCGGGCTGGCTGCCCTTGACACCACCGGCAGTGTAGCCGTTGCACTGGAGGTCGATCAAGGAGATGTCCTCGACGGGGCCGTTGCCGGGGATGGGGCGCGAGATGCGCTCGGGGACAGGGTTGGAGTAGGGGTCGACGTTGGGGTTGTAGAATTCGTACTCTTTTCCTCCGATGGTCGCGCTCTCGACGTAACCGTGGGCGGCCACCAGGGCGACGGAGGAGAGAAGGGAGAGAATGCAGCGCATTGTGATTTTGTTTTTAGAGTATGTTTATAAAAAAGAAGAAATGTATCAGGACGGCTAGCGTCAAGAAGATTGTTCAATAATGAAGAAGAAGAAAAAGAATTTGTATACAAGAATTCACACAACGGCTGGCGTCGAGAGGCGTAACGAACAGAAACTTCTATCGCGAGGAATCATGGCATTAAATACCAACTCCCCTTTCAACCGCCAAGACTTCCCAACGGAGATTCTCAGATGAAAGGGCTCCGAAGAAGCAGATATTCCCACCACTGAAGCTCATCTTGGCAGTTTCACGATGGGCGTCTGGGATGAAGCCGTGATTGGTGGATGTTTAAATGTTTCCTAGACGAAACAGGAACACGGAGACGCGGACCCTGTTTTCTTTTAAGGGATGGACTGATTTTAAGCGACGAAACTGTAGCGGTTTGAGATTTTGGCTGGGTCTGTCCGTCGACGTAGCATTCGCGGCTCTGTTGAGAACGGATGAATGCATATAAGATCTGCGAGGTAATAAACTCCAAACAATTTGGATACGACGACAAAGATTGTTTGTAGCAATTGAGACGGGACGACACATATTGTTTGAAGTAACTAGTATTGTTTGTATAACCTCAAGCTTCTAGGACGTCTGCCTAGGACTGATGATGGAAATCCGGCGGGTATAAGAACCGGCAAGGGTTCGCTCTCCCCTGCAACTGGAGCTGTGTAAGATGACATCTTAAACTATGCTCTCTTTATATCACATAAGCATAAACTTTTAAACTCTATCTCACTACATCGCGGTCATCATGATTATACCCCTAGAGCTCATAGTGCTCATTGCCGAAAAACTTGCCCATCGCCTCGCCCAGACTTCCCCATTTCTTGCAACCACAGATGATGCTGAGTGGGCGGATCTAGAGGTGCATCGCCTGGCTCTCATCAACCTGGCAGGGTCATGTAAAGCTGTCCATCACAACATTCGACACCTACTATACACAACTCTCGACATTTGCAACCCACTCCGTTTAACTAGGGCCTTGACCGACATCCTCAAATATCCGCAGGTCGGGCCGTCCATCCGTCACATTTATTGTGCCACCCCATTGGACTTGGACGCTTCACGCAAAGGATCTCGGGGGTCTTCGTTCCGGAAGCGGATGGAGCGAACGGAAGACATTGCATGGGTTGAGGATACCCTTAAGCAACGCGGTTGCTGCCCTCCTTGGTGGCACAACCCTGGAACCACGCATTGGCTTGTCAAAGACGGAATCATAACCTGGATTCATCGGGAGGGGTGGATACGTTTGGAATATCTAGAGGTTGCGTTTCTATCGATACTACACATGGCGACAAAACTCGAGTCCCTTGCTTTTCATCAAGTCGACTCAGGCTGGGAAAGACTTGCATCTATGCAAGGAGCCATGGGTCACCCAAGCTCGCGTGTTATCGTCACGGCCAAGGAAAGGGCCAATGAAACGATCATGACTTGCGAGAACGATGAAAGCCAAGGACCACCACGTCTTTTTCTGGGCAACCTCAAGGCGCTTCAATGTAATTTCCGTGAACAGAGCCAGTGGCTGCATCTCGCCGACTCTCTATTCGGCGGCGGATATGAGAACCTGCAAACTCTCATCCTTGACGGGATGAGTCTACGAGACATGAGCGAATGGTCAGACAAGATCAAGGTCAAAAACACAAAGATTGAGCAACTCTATCTCGGTTCGCGGTTTAAGCGCCAGATCGCCAGCCCTCTCTTCGCCAAGCAGGAATGGGTCAGGGGGAGATGGCTCGTCGGTGGGCCAAGACTGGAGAATCCCCAGCTGGAGCTTGCAAGGGAAGACGAGGAGGGATGGAGATCCAATATGGAAGATCGGAGACGGAGGAAATCTAATCTAGGCGGATTCAAGCATCTTCGGGTTTTGGATGTTGTTGTCGATTCTCCGCCGAATTTCCCGTCTAGGACCCTTGTGGCGTTAAAGGATCTTGCGAGTTCGCTAGAGGTTCTCCGGGTCGAGGGGTATCCATTCAACCTGTACATTCCAGATGACCGCGTGTTTGGCTGAATAAAAGTTACCCTCCTTTTCGATTATCAAGCCCTCCACTGGTGGGCAGAACGGAGGGCCTCAGGGGTGAGCCCGTTTGAGGTTTCTCGGAGCACATAGTCCGATGTAACTACACGGACGTCTACCACCCTAAACACGTCGCAGCATGCTCTCCTTGAGTTTTTCCGAAGAGTTTTGAGAGGTAATCCCTTGGGCCGTGTTGTTCAGATTGTTAGTGTGGTGTCGACACGAAATAAGCCACGGTAGTTCAACAACAAGGATCTCAAGATATGGGAGTATACCAGTTGTTATTCCTCTCTACACAGTCCTTTCCCGTTCTTTTTCTTTTCAAGTTACCGGCACAAGGGAGCCTTAATTCTATTGACTAAAAAACCAGAGTCGTCTCAAGGTACCCCCCACATTTGCCTGTACCAACCCCAACCACTATTCTTCACATCGACGCACCGTCTACAACAACAAAGAAAAAGAGCAAAAAAAGAAACAAACGGCAAAAACATACAACAGCGGGGATTCGCTGGTCGTCACCGACCCAACTACTAATCCGCCCCTCACTGGCTTATCTATGGGAGAGCGGACGGGATCCCGAGTTCTCCAGTGGGTATGGTCGTATGTGCTAGATGGTGATGCTGAACCAGGTTATGCCCTTGCCGCTCTCAACGAACGTGGCATCAGGAAGATTCGACTATTCTCAAGCCAGTGCAAGTGCCGGCAGGGTGAACATTATGCCTGGAGATTTGGTGCCTGGGAGCATTGGGGGAGCTAAGAGTTGCTAGTTATTGACACTAACGTCGGCGTCGGCTAGGATGCGAGTTGTCTGCATATGCCCACTCTGATCACCTGGTGTTGAAAAACATATCATCTGAAGAATCACTTGAATCTCTGTCTAGAATGCTCTAGGGTATGTATCGTAGCTATTGATAACTTTCGAAACCATGTTCCGTGTTGTAAAGTGCGTCTCCACGTACGGCCTCAAGTCATCAAGTTCGTCCTGCCAGCCAGATATTCGGCTTCCAGACCCCAAGGACCTTGGCCAAAGATAGCAAAAGCTCTATATAATTCCTCTACCTCTATCATTGCCAATATTTGCCCAAATACAATTCCTTGAGTATCCTCCTTTCCAAGTCCCTTGCGTCCCTGGCATCCCTGATGTAGGTACTCATTAGGAAGCTATCAAAACAGCCTCTTGGATTCTTTTTCTTCCTACCTGTGCTACTCATCAATACTGATATTCTGGAAGTGTCATCATAACTCGGAACCAGCTGGCAATGGTGCACTGGAAATGGGGGGTTCTTTGGCATAGTGAGTCACCAGCTGGGCAGCCATTTTAGTGGTTGACACGTTAAATGACCATGACCAAGATGTGATTGAAGTTAAATAAGGGCTAATATAACATTCTGAAAAGTACTAGAGACTTAAAAATCCAAGGAAGTTGTTGCAAGGGAAGAGTGCCCAGTTCCCCCAGACCCAGTCGAGGAGAGCGGCCAGTGCACATCGCCATTTGATCCGACAGTTGTTTCTAGAAAACATCAATCTCCTTTGCTTACTCTAGGCGGAATTATCCTGTTTTATAACAATTGTTGCTAATCTGCGTGCATGGGCCAAGATATCGCCGAGTTGAGATGTAAAGCCAGGAGGGTCAACGTCTCGCTGACCTTGTAACTTCCCATTGCTGTGTTATCTGGATTTTCCGGGACAATTTCATAACAACAATAAATACAGAGCATGAGAGATCCAGCTCCCTCATTTATATCGTCACATCCCCCCTAAGATGTTTGGATTGTTCAAAGACTTCATCCTGATGTCGATCTAGATTACCCTATAGCGGCATACCCACCTCCGCGGGCTGAGGGACAATTCTCAACTACCTCACTCCGCCTCTAAAAGGCCAATGGACTGAAAATATCTATCACGATTTCAAGACTAATGTCCTGTGACCTGTAGAGTATCTTGTGTATTGGGAATGCGAACCTCAATTTGCCATAGCTGAGGTGAGGATTCACAAGGCTTACGATAAGTCTATTGAGTGGAAGACAAGTATTTACCCATTTCAGAGTTCTCTGCAAAGATGTAGTATATAAAAACCCTTAAGTAAACATGAAACAATTGATTCACACGGAACAGATATTAACTTAATCAATGCTGTCAAAGTGAGCCAGCGAGTCATGAAAACTCGATAATCATCTTGAGCAGCTCTTCGGATCATCGCAGATCCAGCTTACCCCGGACTATCATACGAGCACGCAAGCGCACCACCACGCGGGAAGTGTGTCTCCATGCATATCTAGACCTGCGCCAGCTGCCCTTCCTGGTCTAGAGAATCTCGGCCGGCAACTTGATGGTGGCGGCAAGCCCGGGGGATACCGGGGATCCTACCAAGGTAGAGAAGATCATCTGTCTGTGCGGACTTGAGAGCAATGAGGCCAGTTGCCTGGAGGTCTCGGCTAGGGAGAGGAACAGATCATGGCTGACGGGAGATGATGGTGTGGGAGTGTTGGCCGAGGAGGAGTAACAATAGTCACTGGTAATGGAACGTGATAGGTAGGAGATAGATCTGTAAAGCCTCTGTAAACCATATTGATCTATTGAACCATACCACTGGCTCTTGTGGAACCTGGGGAGCATTCAAGCAAGGTATCGTGACTGGCAGTTCAAGTGGACCAATTGGTGAACTCGTCGTAAATCTACTACGTAGTAGACAGACCGAGAGCCTGATATTCCAAGGGAACCTTTGCATTCGGCGACAACTACCGCAACAGCGAGTCAACCCGAAATATAGTCCCCTTCTTAATAGCTCCTGAATGGCTTTCCCCGGGGAAGCTCCCCTTGGCCATCGTCATGAAGCAGCGGCTAATAGTGGGCACGGTTGCATCGTCGCAGGGAACGACGGTACGTACCTTCTCGACTTGTCCAAGCCCGTTTTGCTCGATGCCTGAAAGCGGAAAGGCGAGCCGAGCGATGGAAAGGGAATCGCTCGGTTGAGATAAGGAGAGAGTGCTGACAAAAGTTTGTTGAAAGTTCATCTAATCTCGAAGCTTGGCCCCAGTGGCGATTGGGGACATCAACTGTTTGCAACTTTAGCATTGCCCGATGGCCGGAGTTGACGGGGCTGACGAGATAAACAGCGTGGGGTATGTATGGAGAGAGCATGCGTTGAGGAACTGCTGCTGGCATTACCGACGAATGGGAACAACAGAGGCGACAAACTGACGAGTCGTTCATGTTCAGGTCAGTTGACGGGTCCCGTGATGACACTTCGAGTGAAACATGGGGTTTCTTGGTCCATGGGGTCGCGGAAGCCTTCGCTAGGCACCCGAGATGCTAGCCTGGGCTGATGAGGCCTTCTCAGATGAGGAGGCGGTGCTGGGACGATACAGTAAGACGGCCGACCAGTGTCTGTCGCGTGGCACCTACAGTTGTCAGTCAGCCAAGAATAAACACACAAAGTGAATGTCACAGAGATGGGCCTGGAAGATCTCGATGAACGCAACCAAATCTGAACACGAGAACCTTGTCAAGTCACCACCAATATTCAACACACCCCAGACCAGCTGGCACACCACCTATAAAACAGCAGCAGGAATTCCAATATTGTCGGCCACCTTTTGGAAGCGAACGAGGGGATCACCAACCACGATAGCCAGACCCTGCAGGTGGGGAATCCAGACCCCGCGTTTTTTTCTCTCAGATTGGTGTGTGTGGGTGGTGGATGGCGTATGACGGCGCGGCGCAGGGTCAGAGGTCAAGGACGAATCAGACGGCCGTGATAAGGAGAAGCGTAGAGGGAAAACGGGATGGGACAAGAGCACGAGGGACAGGCAAGCTTTCAGTGTGGAGGGGGCACCAAGGTTTTGGTCCCATTGCCCAAAACGAGACGAGTGAGCATGAACTGAGGGAATACGGGCTGTGTGACGGATTGGTCGGATGGCCCATGTTTCGCGTGACCAGGGATGAACAGTAACATCTAGGGCTGGGTTGTTTCGGTGATGTCACAGCGAAAAGGACCGGAATCAAGGTAAAGGGGGTTCTTGGGAGAAATCCAAGTGATGGCCGGGGAGATATGGGAGAATGATCGTCAGTTCCCAGCGCAAAAACTAGACGGCACAGTCAAGGAGACAAGCAAGATTCCTCCCGTTCTTGTTGGTTCTGCGCGTCACCACTCGCACTTCTTCCTCACCCTCCCTCCCCCTCTAGGAAGAGTTCGAAACCTATCCTCACCCCGAGACCCCATTGGAATCCATCCGGGACGCTCAGGCGCAAGGGGGGAGGGCTGACCCCCCTTCGGCAACAGAGACATGGCGTCACCAGGAATGAATCAATGTCTTGCCCTCAGGTCGTTTGGCCCTATTCGCTCTCCCGAGACCCTGCAGATGCTGACAGGTTTCAGAGGGAGACCGACCGACCCCCCTTCTGACTCTCTGTCTGTTCGTGAGAGTTTTGGAGGCCCCGATTGATAGTATACATGTGCCTGTGGAGTGATGTTGGGCAATGGAGGTAGTGTAACCGCCGGACGCGGATGAGAAACCCAAAAAAACGGTCGACGTGCAAAAAGCCGAAAGATAAGGATTTCCTATGCAAGGTTTACTCCGAGGGTCCGGTCTCTGCTTTTCGGACGACTACCGGAGTAGCCGCCGATGGCCTCCGGTTCGGCTTCCTTTACCTTGACTCGCGAGACAACTGCCGACTCATGAATATCAAAAGTGCGAATCGCGACGAGAAATAAAAATCTCTCTTCACGCATGCAGCTATAGAATAGCTTGGCTAGAGATAGATTGATTCACCCTGGCCATGACGGGTAGGCTGAGGCGTGTGCATCGTGATACCCGTGAGGCGCGTCGGCGAGCTGCCTTATCAGCCGGGCACGCGATAGGACCTACACCCGAATCAGGCAGCTTAACTCGTGTGTTTTGTTATCTCTTGTCTGCCTGCCGCAGTTCAGCTTGATAGAAGAGACAATCATATCACAGGCAGGTCAAGAGGTTGGGGTACATACATACAAAGCTACATCCCTCTATCCATCGCCGGGATCTGTATGGAACACTTCTCGACGACTGCTGTTGTGCCAGCTGGCTCACCTCGATTTGCCCGCCGCGGTTCGAAATCGATATCTTCTCAGTCCACCATCACAGGACATTTGCATCCATCGTATCCGCACCTCGTTGTCGTCGTCCTTCGTCCCGTCTGCACCCTTGCTGCATGTGTCTTTGACCCGACAACCTGACCAGCTCATCCTCATCCTCCGTGTGGCCGGCCGAGGCTTTCTCGTGTGTGTCCCCTTTCAAAGAGGGCCGTTATTCTCTGTCATATTGTTGGCCGACTGTGCTCCCCCGTTTGGCGCTACGTCTTGGACGACGTCCACCCATTGCTTCCTCGTGACAGTCGAGCCTGTGGTTTGATTGTTGTGTTCAATCTCAGACATTTGCTTGGCACGCCTTCGCTCAAGGACCCCAGTTATCCCCATCTGGATCACTCCCCTCCCCCACGACCAAGACCCAGGGTGCATGCATTGGGCAATTGTCGAATAAGTATTCGAGGTCACCGCTCATCCGTCGGTGAGAGCCAAGAGATTCCGAGAAAGAGGTCGTTTGTCTCCTTCTGATCTATATCAATCCATCGACAAATCCACGAATTGTCGAGACATACGGGCCTTTCTTAGGCGAACATGGTCTTCAGCTTTCTCCGCGGCCCCACGATCACCGTCTCTCGTTTCGATTCGTCCACGCCCACGCGGCATCTGCCTCTCCCCCAGACGCCATAGACACACGACACGAGTTATAAACACAGCAGAGAAACCCTTGAGCGCTCTGCAAGGCACGACCCGCCATCAGCGGTAGCGTCATTCGAACCCTCCTCCAGCTGCTTGCAACACAGGCAATTCGGGGTCCATCACTGAGGGGGCCACTTGACCGTCGACGCCGTGATTCGCCCAGGCGTCCATCACAACTTCAGTTCTCTAGCTCGCAAGCGTCACCCTTGACCGTCGGAGCCAATCCAAGGCTTCGTTTTTACGTTACTGAAATTGTCCTGCGACGCACAGCCTGGGGACAAGACGGACACGCGGTCATCCCCGGACTGGTCCATCGCTTTTTTGCTTTGCATCTCTTGCCCTGCCCTCCGGTCTGCGGTGCGGATCTCACATCCGGGACTGGGCTTGGGCCTGGAACCTCAGCCGGTTGGGCCCTAGAGTTGGTGTCGATTTTCGCTCGAGAAGGAGGAGGACAGCAGCTGAGAGATCGGGCGTCGGAAGCCCCTCAGAAGACGACGTCAGACCTGGGAGGTCCAAAAGGCATTCAAAAAGTGACACATTGACCCCAGAAAGAGACGGATCCCTAGACATCGTGAAAGGAGGCTTGCCTGCTGAAAGCTGAGGCGGCTTGGAAACCGAAGCCTTGATTGAGCGCCGCCGGCGGGACCCACAAAAACTTACAGTGCCGACCCTGAAGCACTGCACGCTGAGCAGGCGCAGGCGCGCTACAGCACAGGGCAGAACCCCCCGGAAGGCCCTGAAAGCCCGCCCCGTGGGCCCACCCCGCCCCGCTGTCGCGAGACTGAATGCCAGCGCACCAGGCCCTGAGGTACCGACCCGAGAGACCCAACCCAACCCACCTGGCCAGCCCTGGCTGTCTGACTGAGGTGTCTGACGGAGGTGTGAGTGAGCGCCAGCCAGCCAAGCTCTGCCCTGTCGCACTTGCCCCGTCTTGGGTTCCGGGACTCGGACTAGGATTGACTGGGGGGTGGCCACTATGATGACTCCACGCTCCTTCCAGCTGGCCCAGCGCCAAACCCAGTATCAGCGCCAGCGCCCTCCCACAGCTCCTTCCGCGAGTAATCACAATACGGCTTTATCTATTCCGACTCCCTCTTTATCTCCCACCCTCACTCCCACTCCCTCCCCTTCTTCCTCCCCTTCACCCTCATCTTTGTCCTTGTCCTCTTTCATTCCTTTACATACTTCGCATACTCCTCAATATTCGCCCTCCTCTTCCTACTCTGTAAACTACACCTACTCCGACGACTCGTATACAGCATCTCGACCATCCTCTTCGGCGACTGGCACAACCGCAACCACGACGCCGACCACATTCACCCTCCCGCGCTGGTCGCTCAAGTATGACGATAGCAAGAACGATATTACAGTCACCATCACGCCAGTACAACCAATATCCGATGCAACAATGGGTAAACGCAAGGACCGGCGGGAGACCTCAAGTCTCTCCCCTTCCAGCCCTCCTACTACAACTACGAGTTTGACGACAAGGCCGACAACTCCGACGAGCCCGGTCAAGATTCCCTCCGCCAGCAACAACCGCCATGGAACCCACCCTCAGAAGCGTCACACATCTCAGCGCCGACGGACCCGTGATTCGCGCTCGTCGGAGATAATGTCGCCTTCGCTTGCCGCTTTGCTGGCTGTGACAGATATTCCCCGGCCAAGACAACTTCAGCGCCGCCGTCGCACCGAAAAGACCCTGACTGTGGAAGAGGTCATCGACTGCCAGCAGGCGTCTGAGAAGGAGCTGAGCTGGTCATTTAGCCGCAGCCCTCTCGACATGCTGCTTTCGCCTCCTCATGAGATTGCCGACGACGACGATAGCGTTAGTGATTGCAACATCGGGTCCGCCATGTCAATCAGGACTTACTCTGTCGACTCGATCCCTTCTCTTGATGAGTCTTTCAGTAGTGATTGCCTCTCGTCTCTCGACAGCCCCAGGACACCAAGCATCTGCTCACGAAGGACGAGGTTTACTCCCATGCGAAAGTCACTGGAGCCTGTCATCTCGCCACCTGGATCCGTGGACGAGCACCCCCTGGCTGGAGATGACGCCGATGTCGATGAGATGGACATCATCACCCTGGAACAGCCTGAGGAGGTTCAGCCCAGCAAGCTGCAATTCCTGCAGCCCTTTAAGCCGCTTCGATCTGTTTTCAAGTCCAACTTGACTGCATCGCTGCGTGCTTTGAGATCGGCTGCCAAGTCTTTCTCGGGCATCAACCTTCCATCTATCCCTCCGGACGACTTCCTGACCCGCTCCATTCTCACCATCGACCCTAATGTGCCCTATGCTGATGAACGCCGGCCACCCGTCTCGGAGGAGATGCCTTCGGCAGCGATGCGCCGTTACTTGAACCCTACGACGAATGCACGGATCGAATCTCCGACAAAGACGGTATTTGCAGGGACATTTGCTGCTTCGATTCAAATGCGCACCTACAAGATCCAGCGTTCCCGAACGGCGCCGGGATCTTTCCGAAACGCTTATCCGTCAACTTCGCTGCAGTCACAACCGTCACCTGCGCCTCAGCAGCCACAGCCGCAGGCCCCCACTCAGACACCGCCGGGCATGCGACAGCGCGAAATGCGTGAGAACCCCGATTTCATCCGTATCGCCGTGATGGAGATGGCCATGCGCAAACGCGGAAAACTAGACGACCAAAAACCCGGCCGGGCCCGCTGGGCGCTCCCTCCGAGACAGATGTCGACAAAGCCCTACGAGGTGGCCCCCAGCGGAGTTCCGGTGCGGTGGATTCCAATCACCGCTTAAGGGCAAAGGGCAATGCTGCTGTACCACGGCACCACAAGCCACAGGCAGGTCAAAACAGAGGGCCTCCGATTCCTGCAAAGCGATGACACGTCATGTCCCTGAGCAGGGTTCCTTTGCAATGCCGGATCAGGCAGGACAAGCAGCGGGATGCCTGCCGACAAAGCACCCACCTCCTGAGCTCATTACGGAGTACCTGGAAGCCTACCCGCACCACTGGGTAAAATGATGCAAATTTTCGCCCCCCAACCACAATGGAAGGATTTTGGAAGCCCAGCCACGAGTCAAGGTCCCACAAGCCGGCGATGGAACCCCGGCACTATCCAGAGGGCAATCGAACTGACAGGGCCCTGACCCTGACTCGACCAGACAAGACGAGGGGAAATGATGCACCACTGCATGGCAAAACCCGCCCCGAACACGAAGCCGAAACGCCAGTCTCTTTTTTTTTTTCGATGGAAACTGGACCTCGGGACAAAGATTCCGGCACAAAGTCAATTGACATTTGTCAATGGCAACACGATCACCCAATCACGAAACCCATTCGACATGGGACACATAACATCATCTAGACAGCGACAGGCATTTCCAGGAGTTCTGACACATGACCCAATTTTTTCTTCTTTTCTTGTTTTTATTATTCCCCTTTCTGTCACCGTCGGTGGAGAAAAAGCATTCAAAGCACTGTACTGGCATGCATGCGAGGCGAGGCGAGGCGAGGGTGGAATTGATTGATTGATTGACTGCTTTCTTGCTTGCTTCTGTCTGCAAATTTTTCATGCAATCGCTTTCTTCTTTTCGGACAAGACCCTTGAGGACTCTCTCTGCACCCCACTCAGACGGCATTGGCTGATGAGTGAAATGGCTCACTGGCTGTCAATGCCGGGGCTAAGGAGAGTTCTCGGGAATGCAGAAGAGGTTTTCGATTGCGGAGAAGGGCTGGCAAGCAAGCAGGCAAGGGGGAGACAGGCATTGCATTGCATTTGTTGAGGGAGTTTAGTTGGTATTTTGAAAGGGCAGGGCATGCAGGGCATTTGGCTTGGCGAATACGGACAAGGGCATTGAACAACCTACCACGCACAATGGTACATATCACACACACACACACACAGATTTCACTCAACTCTCACAGAGTTGCCTTTTGAGACAGACAGCAAAAGGAAAGGTTATGGCGGCATGGGGCGCAGGCGGCATCAAGAACTAGCGGTCTATATTTTCGGATACCATTTGTTGAATCGAAGCAAATTTTCAGTCACACACATACATACACATGCATCCTGAGAAGTCTTATCTTGTGGTCTTTTTGGCGTGGGAGAAGGGAACTCTTGTCTTGCATGCCCGAAAGCGGCAGGGCTAAAACTTGGCCTCATCGATGAATGGGCAATTGGCAATGCAGGCATGCCCAACCACTTTTACCCATGAATAAAAAAGTGTGAGTTGTACATCGTTTCCCGGTCAATGAGGACTCGAGCAAGCTGGAAACGCGTGATGAAGTCAGTGTCAACATGTGAGCCTATCAATGGGCCGCTTATTGATAATATCCTCCTCCATCTTCAGCCCTCTCCAGACGGTCAACCCTTGGTCGGCACGACCTTCCTCGACCCGTGGGGGTCACTGACAGACAAACAGGAACTCAGATCACGCGGGAAAGAAAACTTCTAGAAAGAAACGGAACAAACCCCCTTGGTCTCCTTTCCTTGTGGAGCTTTTTTCCCTTTGACTCAGACGCTAATTAGCCAGGGGGGAGGCTAGAAGTGTGCACCGAGCAGAGAGTGCACTTCCTCCTGTGCAATCGGTGATTTCCCGGAAAGCCAGCAAGAGATAGGGAATTTTTAAAATTACCCCGCTAAACAAGAGGGAAATAAAGCGGAAAGAATTTTTTGGTCGTTTTATTCAAGCAAGGGTCTTACATGTGCAGTAGCGCGTGGTTGGGGAAGATGGGGGACATTTGCATGTTCTAGACCGCCAGACACTGTTTTTCTCCTTTTGTAAAGTGTGAAGCGCGCTTAACGAGCGGAAGCGGTGTGTTTCTGTAAATTTGCGGGTTGATTTTCTGGGGTTGGGGGATAGGGGCAGGGATGAAGGATAACCCTGATGTTTTACATGGGAGTAGGCAACTTGTAGAAGGTCAGTCAAGAATGTGTAGCCGGGGTTTGGAGTTTTGATACAAAAGAACTGTTGTGAGAATACACCTGCCTGTTGGAGATGATCTCCGTGAAGCAAGGGAAAAAATCCATTCTCAATCATGGCGTGGTAGTTTTGAGAGTAAACTACACACCCCTTGAATCAAACGAGATGGGAATTCACATGCTTGGATATGGCTATGAACTCGGTCTATCCGAGTAGCACCGATAATATGATGGAGCGAGGCTAGGAAAGTTGCTAAGCATGTCATTCATTGGACCCATCGGCTCTGTTTGCCGGAGTTGTGGTGCTGTCAAGACACTGCACGGACTATGCTGTTGGAAGATTGCACATGGGTGCAGTACGAGCTCAGTTTCGCCCGAGAGCGGATATTTGGCACACCAACGTGACGATTCGATATGCATGATAATTAATTCTCGTATATAACAGAACAGTTTGAGCCCATTGAGACCTAAAACTTTGGGTGCGAGGCCTCTACTGTTGCCCCTATTGAGAAATTGATTCAGATACTTTGATCCCTATTTTAGGTGGCATAAAGTGATATAATAATAACCCAACAGAGTGATGAAACTAATGATCAAAAGAGAGTATCAGAGGTCCCCTTGGCTTGAGTTCTGCTCTTATTGTGCGACCACTGTCATGGACAATCATTAATAGATACTAACAAGAATTCCCCGACAACAGCTTGTCTTTGTATTATTCCAAAGAGGTGGTAAATCTATGCCCTTTTTCACTCACGACACTTGGCTATTGAATACTATTCTTATTAAAACTATGAATATGCCAACCATCCATGCCATGTACTCCTCAGTTGCTCCGTCCTCAACATGGAGAGGTAAGCAGTCTCGTCCAGTCTATCCTGCAGCTCTTTAAACTTGGACGTCGGAGCCTTCTTCTCAAACAAGATATCCAACTCCAAATACGTGAGCTTCCTCGTCTCGGGCAGCCTGAAATAGCACCAGATGAAACAGACAAAGCTCGTACTGGCATACAGAAAGCACGACTTTCCACCAAGGTTCCACGCCGACGGATTCAACATCTTGGGCATGACGATATTGTTCACCATGATGGCTATGTTGTACGTCACCCTGGCCAGCGCAACAGTCTTGACACGTAAACGGGTGGATGGAATCTCGGCCACGAGGACGTAGCACACCGGACCGATGGTGAGGTCGTAGAAAAAGGTCATGGCGATGATGATGGCCCCCAGGGCCCAGTCTGCGCCCTTGCGACTTCCCAGTGTTACTGAGACGATGCCGCCGGAGAGAAGCAGGATGACTGGTATCATCAAGCCATAGAGGTATAGCTTTCGACGGCCCACAAACGAGAGGAGAGTCCACGACATGATGCCACCAAGGATACCGACTCCGTATCCAGCAACCGAGAGGTTGAACGAACTGGACGCGTCGAAGCCGGCTTGTTCGAAAAAGTACGGCGCGTAGGATGTAAGAGACCAACCGGAGAGTGCCTGGCATATCCAAGCCATACAGGCTATCTCGGTTCTGCGACGGTTGACACCCTTGAACAGGTCCAGATAGCTACCACCACCATATTTTAGAGTCTTTTCAACTCTATTGGTGTGCTGCATCAGCTCTATTGTGTCGTCGATATCCATGTTGCTCTCGTTGCTGAGACGATAAAGAGCGTGCTTTGCTTCTGTTGTTCTTCCATGACGGATAAGCCACCCTGTACATCATGCCGTGTTAGTCGAGTCACAAGACTCAGGGGTGTAGGGGATTCAATCTCACATGGACTATCAGGAGCAAAGCATATGCCAAACAACAGGGGTATCGCCCAAGCCCATTGCAAGGCGAATGGGAGGCGATAGGACCACTGAGATGTGTTGTGCACCAATGCCCGAAGAATGCCAGTCCCAATGACTTGACCAACGAGCCAACACATGTTGATGTTGCTCAGCACAAAGGGGCGTAGGACAGATGGCACAACTTCAGCTGCATATGTGGCAGCCAAGGTTTGAATGACGCCCCATGATATTCCTGAAGTATTTGTTAGCTGAGCATCTCCCGAGGTTGGGAGACTTTATTCATACCACACAGAGCTTGCGATGCCAGCAAGACACCAATGCCGTTGGCGAAAAAGGCTCCAAACACGGCAGCACACATCCAGAGCAGACTCGCAATCATCATCTTGCGATATCCAATGACGTCGGTGATGTATCCATGTGCCAAGAGACCAATGATCTCGCAGCCAATAGCCGCGTTTTGCAGGCCCATCTGCCAAGAAGGCGATATCTCGTATACTTGGTCCTCAGGAGGCGTGTTTGGTGGCAAAGTCGGTCGTCCATATTTTCGCCTAAAGGCCGGAAAGGCAAGGAAACCCGTAACTAGAGACTTGTCGTATGCTTCCATGACAACCGTGAGGAACAGCAACAGAGACCAGCCGACGGCTTTGGGATACTGCCGACAGCAGCGAAAGAATGTCGTTTCCTTTTCGATGGCTACGCCGCGACGAACCCGCCCTGCTGTGGTGTCAAGGCTGGACGAACGTGGGAGCCAAAGCGCGTCTGCAAAATTGATTGATACATGCCCCGTAGAAGATTCATTGTGGCTTTGCAAGATTGCAAGGCTATGAAACTCGGGCATGGGGATTTCGTCTTCATCTTGAGAACGGGTTTCGTTGGCCGGGCTCGTTGAGTTCATCTCGGTCGCACGTCTCCTGGTCGTCGTCGTATTCTGACAGAACCACGTCTCTTTGGAGGATAGAACTTCATCGGGTGACAGAAACGGGAGTCGCGGCAAGTGGAGGAGTGGTATGCAAAGGTGAGATCTAGAAACGGGCACACTTGAAGTTCCTGGCCCATTCCCTAGTCGGTGGGAGAAGTTGAAGAAGCATCTTCGCTCGAAGAGTGTTTAGACGACCTGGAAAGAAGGAGAGAAACCTCCAATGGGGAAAGCAGGCTCTTTAAGACCCCATAAACCGTGCAATGTTACATGTTGCGAGGCGTCATGTTGACAGGGCGATTGGTCAATGGCGCCCGGGGAAGCACAACCCAAGCCGTGGCTGAAGTTTAAGAGACAAGGCGAACAGAAACAAGAAGAAACAGTACACCAAAAGACATTGAAATGCCATGTTATTCTGCGCCCTTGGGGGTACTGGTGTCCTGGTGGTGTCCTCGGGCATACGCTCGGGCTGTCAAGGTCCGCCTGGCGTCTAGGGATGGTCTAGCCTGGGATTAGCTCAGCTGGTCAAGAACTCGGAAAAACCCCATGATTTCCCAGGCACCGTCTCTATTAGCGACAGAGTTTGGCCGCTTAACGCCGTTGGAGTCGGTGGAGTTTGGCACGTAAGAAGAAAGCTGTGACAGGTTAGAGGTTAGGGATGAGGCGGGCCGCTGGATCACCAGTTGGTTTCTAACCAGGGGTGAAGGCCCGAATTGTCGTCATCTTGCAGGATCGATCGAGAAATGTTTTGTGCATTGGATGGATGTTGCTTGTTGTTCATGGTCAAGCTTGTATGAAGGGGTGCAAGCCACTGCGTCTGTCTGTACAAGTGGGTCACGTGCTTGTGCATTTCGTGGCTTGCCTCTGCTTTCCGCCACAGTCATGTAACTGACCGTCCTGGTTCTCACGAATCATGTGAAACTTCATTTTTCACTCTTATACAACTTCACCACATGATCTCAACCTTTCGTATCCGACTCCCTCGAAATGGGAAAGGCCACCTGGCTTGGCCCGCACCGGCCAAGAGAGCTTGGCAATATCAGACATCCATCAACAAGCACCAATTTGCTAGGTATAGCCGCGTGCAAGACATGGGTCTCGTGGATGACTATCACAGCTGGCAAGACGTGGACATGAACGGCGTCCAGATAGACCCAGCAGGTCGTTTAAAGCGCTACACCGGCTCGAGGATGCTTTCACCCGCTCGAGTAACAAAGAATCAGCAACCCAGGAAATTCGGTCTCCGATCTTCTCCTCAAAGAGTATTGAACGAGAAGGATGAAACAGATCAGCGAGATATCCGCGTGCTGCTCGGATACGCTTCGGACGCGTGGGCATCGAGACCTTTGCGGGAACATCTCTCAAAGATAGATAAGCTTCAACCTCCAAGGTTTGTCTGCCTGCACGGCGACCAGATGGCTCGTGAGGAATTACCCATCAAATTCCATTTGGGGGTATCCATATTCGATACAAGATCCGTCGAGGCTATTCAACAGGGTAGAAAGGATATAGGGCAAGCCATTAAATCTCACCATTATCTGGTTCATGACCCAATATTCCACCCCTTGAATAGCAGAAAGTTCTTGTTCGGAACCCCAGAGATGGCCACCGATGCTCAGATCGCAGAGAAGCTCCAGAGACTATGTTCACCGCCCAATATCCTCGTGACCTACGGGCCCAAGAGGGAACACAAGGCGCTGAAAAAGATGGGTTTAGACCTATCTCGCAATTACGTCTTCGACATATCCCACATGGCTCAGACTATGTCGGATATGCCCTACTCCATGTCCCTGCAGTGGGTGCTAGAGAAACTACAAATCCCGTTCAAGCCAGAGCTTCTATACGTGGCGGGCAACGACACCCATTTCGCACTCCAAGCCATGCTCATGCTGGCCGCCCTAGATGGAGAGGATCACCCAACTGCACGCAAAGTACCGACGTGGGTGCCGACGTTTAAAGAAATCGCCAAAGCCAAACTCCCTGACTGGGACCCTCGGACAAATTGGTCTACTCCGGCATGGTTTCGCGAGCAAGAGGAACGTTTCCGTCAACGCAGAGACATACAGCATCGTATTGTTAAAGAAAGATATCAACAGAGAAAAGGGCGACGAGAACATGAAGAATTGGTCCAAGAGAATGAAGACAGAAAAAGGTATCTTGAACGTCTAAAAGCTCGGGCTACTTATTTGGATATTGTGTGTGCTGCTGTGGTCAAAAATCGCCCAGACGAATAGGGAGGAGGAGTCTGTCAGCAGATGAGGAAGAAGCCTAATATCAGTCATCAATGACCCCAAGTCTGGGTAGCATCACATGTCACGTACTCAAGCAGGGGATTCCTCCAACGTCGGGATTTCATTCTCGTCCTTGTTCGATGTTATCTGGGGTATGGCACCACGCGGCCGGGGGGGACGGCAAGGCCAACGAGGGTTTGCCACAAGGAGCGGCTACAGGAAGCGGCACTCATCTTGACCTGATGACCTTGTGGTTGATTGGGATTAGAGGGGGGAACTCGTTCGGTGGACCCCGACCCGTCAAATCGTCAGATGGTCAGCACCAAAAGGGTAATCATGATGCCAGGAGGAGCGAACTCATTCCCGCGACATCGAAAGTTGTTGATAGATTTCACTCCGGCTGGAGCCGAAATCTAAAGATGCAAATCTTGGGTTTGAACTGTCTCGTCATGGTTTATGCCTTGAGTTAAGGAGTCATGATCAATACTCATTCATCATGGTAACAATTAATATCCTCACTGTTAGTGGTCGTTGCAATGCATACCCACAATTCCCCAGTATCAACTACCAGACTGCATCACAGCGACTTGGCAAGGAACAAAGATGTCAAAAACAATTAAAATAAATGAATAATTAATCAAGACAAACACCTCTACACCTCAAACAAACATGCATTCTTTCATCCAAACACATCAGCCTCATCCAGCGAACCCTGTTCCCCGGAATCGCCCGAATAGGGTCAGACTGCCCAGGGTCCCAGCCAGCAATCACACCACCATCGACCGACTCGCAACCGCATTGAGCCCTATGTGAATGCTACGCCTCAAGGGCTCAAAGGGGTCAAAATTTGATATAAAGATGACCTAGAGACTCGTAATGGAGTGATTCTTTCTTCACCAAGCTCTTCAATACAAGCATCGATACACAGTCAATTGCAGACTACCTCATCTCGACAACTTCTCCATCTACTTTTTCAACTCACTTATACGCTTCAACATTCACAATGGCCGCCCTCGCCAAGCCCGTTGCTACCCCCAAGTAAGTCCTACAAATTTCAACTCATTATTATCTTCTTTACTGACACTCTCATCAAGGGTTCTTCCCATCGTCATGGCCGTCGGAAGCTTCGCCATCGTCGCCGGCTTCGTCCGCTCCCAACTCGCCATCACATCAGCCAAGTTTGACCGATCCTTTGACAAGTACAACACCCCCGAGAGCGAGGCCTCGCGGGCAAGGACATTTGACGGTGCTGTCGAGAACCCCCGAACCAGCCTGTTCAATGCCCTCGGCCGACGACAGTAGACGACAACAATATCTGAGGGGATGGAAATCTTTTTACTGCGTACATATTCACAACGCTGAGCGTTCTTTATTATTATCACCAAACACCACCCGGATAGAAAGAGGTGGAATGGTTGACAAGGTTGGCTGCATTTGATGAGCATCGATACCACAAATTCATACATACACATAAACATGAGCATTCAATAAACTGTTAAACATCACAAGACCAAAACTGGGGTGAAACATAGTTATCAATTCTTTTTAATTACATACGGAAGCCCCCCGCCCAAGGGTGTCTTTGTTCGCCCGTCAACCCCCTTTCCTCATCATTGAACTTTGGCCTTATCACCTCCTATCCAAACACCGCACCGCTCATCCATGCCGGAATCGACTTGTATCCACCCTGTCCATTTGACCTGTACTGTACTGTGCTATGCTATGTTGAATGCTTGCTTCCCTGCTCTCCAATGGGCTGAAGCAAGTTATGCAAAAGAATAAACAAGAATCCCTTCTCCTATCCATACGCCCCTATTGTACCATTGTTCTATAAACTACATGTACCTTGCCGTCATTGTGAAGTGACTTGGCTTTTCCTCCTCTTCATCTCTCCCCTCATCCCGACTTCATCCTGCTGGGCGTCCAGCTCAGTCGTGGTCCCGTCTGACTCGATGATCTCCGCGTTCTAGGCCTGACCGTCGGAGGTGGCGGTGGGGCTTCATCCACGGTTTCGGAATCGTCCTCTTGTTGAGAGCTGCTGGTGTCTCTATGACCGATGCGAGAAGTGAGTGCGCTTATCTTATCTTTGAGATTGCTTGTGCCGCTCTTACGGCGCACACCGGATCCCGAATCATGATTACTCAGGCTCGATTGAGGCCGCTCAATGCCAGTCGGGATTCTCCTAAACCCAGGCTTGAGCTGCTGCGGCTGCTGTGCAACTGGTACCGGGATGTTGCTGTGTACACTGCTGTGCACACTATTGCGTATGCTCATACCGCTGTGCATGCTGCTGTTCATGCTGCTGTGCACGCTACTCTGGGGACTTGCTGTTCCTGGCCTAAGGAGTTCGATGCCATGAGTGTGGTGTCGGTTGTTGCGGTTATCCTCGATGGGTGTTGGTGGTGTCATCATGAGGAAGGACGGCACATTTGGAGTATGGTGGCCGTGAGGTGGCTGAAGGCCATGACTACTGGAGGCGCCGTTGCGGTACGATCTTCGGCTCTTAACGCTGGAGCTGCGGCTTCGGCGTCGCATCGTCGATGATGGTGGGATGCTGCTGTGTGTGCTTCCGGCTCGGATGCTGCGAGGTGGTGATCGAGAAAAGTCAACTGGGGATGAGCCATACATGCTGGAATCGTCACTGTCGTTGAGACTGCCAGGGTAATGCTGGGATCCTCCTGAAGACGACGGGGCAATGAGAACCGAGCTGCTAGCCAGCTCTCGTAGCTTGTTCCGTTGTTCAGCATTGGGTCGGTGCTTGGAGAACTTGTTCCCGATGAGAGCGCCCGTATGCGAGATGAGAGCCTTCACCACAGCCTTCTTCAGTGCCAATGCCAGGTCCAGGTTGGACCACGTCTTGTTCTGCCACTCAATGGTTGGCATCCTGAACACGAAATCGTGCACATCCTCGATGTTGCGGTTGTCTTTGCCTCGGTAGCTAAGGCAGAGTACAACAGAGGGCATCTTGATGGATGCAAATGTCATGAAGTGACTGGCACGCGTCATCATCTTAGTGAGGTCGTCAGAGGGCGGCTTCTCGTTGTGTTGCTTCTTGCCGAGACCGAAGCGAGACTTCTTGTCACCGTCTCTTGACTCGCGGCCATCCCTTGAAGAACGTCCAGTCGAAGTACGTCCGATGCCAACCCGCGGTGTTGCGGTCGACCGCAGCGACTCGTGGGATGCCTTCTTCATCATCGTCTTGGAAGTTCCAGGGGCACGGAACAGACGGAACGAGTGCCCATCACTGCCGCCGGTATTAACGCTCAGGGCCTTGCGTGGAGATCGCTCTGCCTTTGAGTTTGATGTGAGGGTAGGGCGAAGTCGCAACTCGAGAGAGCCTGAGTCGGCTGAGAACGATGATGAAGACGACGCTCGTTCGTACGCTTTGTGAAACGACGGTGTATCAACACCATTGGGGCTGTGGATGGAATCGTCCTCATCTTCCTCTTCATCTTGGTCAGCCTGCTTAAGCATGAAGGGTGAATCGTTCCTTGCGCCCGACGTCTTGTCCCCGTTGATGCCAGGGAAGATGTACTCAAACAGTCGCTTGCCCACCTCGCGCTCAAGCTGAACCTTGATCGGGAACAGGTTCACCTCGAAGCGATCCATGACTGTAATGCCTGCGATAGCCTCCAGCATATGCCAGTACACCCGTATCATCTCTTTGTTCTGACTCTCTGGAGGTAGAGGTCGTTCGGGGTCGATGTACGGTGCAACCATCTCAGGGTATGTGGCATCTGGTAGCAGATTCAGACCAAGGACCTTGCCAACTCGGATGAGATTGACATGAGAGCCATCCGAGTTATCCGTCCGATCGTACTCCAGATCCTTCAGTTGGAGCTCCACCAAAGGATCACTCGAGTCCTGCATGAGATGCCACACAATGTCTCGCACCGAAATGTTCCACCTCAGCAGACCAGTGCTGTCATCCGAGTTGACATCGTATTTTCTTTGAGAGCTTGTGATGGCTTTCATCATGAAGAACAGTTCATCTTCGCAGGCAGCTAGGTCCCTCTCGAGGTGCAAACGGTCTTCCCAGCCCTTCTTGTCAAGGTACTTGGAGTACGTCTGGAAATGTTCCTTGATCTCCTCCATCTGTCTGATCCTCTGCTGCAGCTTCTGAACCATGGCCGGAGCGCCACTCAGGTCGCTGAAATCTGATGCAAGGATGATCTTTTCCAAGCGTTCGCTTCTCGTCTTCTCCATTGGTTCGTTGTACATGAGGAGATCCAGCACGATGACATACAATGCATAGTACTGTGACGAGTTGCAGAGTGCACGCGCTGTCGGGAACTCGACCCAGAGGTTGTCCATGCGATTCTCCACGTTGTCCTTTGGCGAGAAACCTTCGTTGTCGTCCGCGTTGACTTCGTCGTTGTACTTCAGACGCAGTGTGTTGTACTTATCATATCGAACCATGGCTGAAGTTTTCTGGACAACGCGCTTGAAGCCGAAAGGATCCGCCTGGAAGTCGAACACAACCTCGATGGGCACCCAAGGTGGCCAAGATGAGCCACTTGGGGCACCATACTTGCTTCCAACGTACATGGAAACGAGGCTTGTCTGGAACCACTTCTGGTGCGTGACGAAGAACTGAACGCTATCCATGTTGACCAAGAAGCGGCGTTGAACGAGACCACTGACATTGTCAGAGATTCTCTCCTTCTCCATGACTTCCATCACCTTGAGCTCCATTCCCTTGGCTGTCGCAAGCACCACATTCTTCTTGTTCTTATCGCTTTGTAGTTGGATCTGTGGTGCAATGATGCGGATGTGATAGCTGCTCTGAGGGGTGAACTCTTCAGCGATTCCAGTAACCAGGTCTTCGATGGAACCTTCGACAACTCCATCGGCGTTTGTGCTCCAGGTTGCACTCGTGAACTTGCGGCTCTCACCGAGAATCTTTCGGATCCGTTCCTCGATGTCTTGGGCGCTCTCCTCCTCCCTCATACTTGACGCGCGAGAACCTCGACCTTTCCTACTGTACGTCGACTTGGCCTTCCCGGGCTTGCTGTTGCTGTTAGCCTTGGCCCTGTTCTGTTCCTCCACAATGTCCAGGATGAATTTGATGGCAGGGCGTGAAAGGTAGTAAGTAAATCCACGCCGCTGGCTGTTCTGGTGGAGGTAGCGAAGTACGATGTTTCGTAGCAGATTGTTCCACTTGAGTTGCAAGTTGTGGATGACGAAACGGTTGTTGAACTCGCTTTCGAACTCGCTGGCCGCCGGGATTTCCATAGTCTCGTCCGGGAATGCAACGGTTTCGCTGGATGGCTTCCGCCCATCAGTGCTGCGCCTGTGTGTGCTTGACGGCGCCCTCATGTAGGCTTGGTTAAGCATGGTCTCCAAGAACTCCTTCTTTTCCCTCAAGACGTGAGTGTGCTTCCTATACGCCTCAAACTCTTCAACTGCGCCGGTGTCCTTGGCATCGCATTTTATCACCTTCAGCTCGGCTTCACCCACCTCACGAGCGTGTGCTTGCATTTGAACACCGAGCTGGTCCAGTCGGTGTTGGATGAGTTGACCCTGAATCCGTCGGGGATCATCGTCATGTCGCATGACACAAAAGTGAGTGGGTTCGTTTCCAAACGGACTAGTTCTAGTAGGATCACCAGCAATAACACCCCCAATGTCGGTTTGTCGGAAGTATGTGAGCCGGGGTGCGTATGCAAGGGGCAAGATCTTGGTGTCAGGGTGCGCGTCAGTCGGCGTGATCCAATCCAGCTCAACAAAGTCGTCCATATCGATCCAGCTGAAGTCATTATCAGGAATGGTGAATCGAGACAAGTCCGGCTTCTCCTCAGTGTCGCTCATCAAAGTCGCAATCGACCCCTTCTTGATGGCCTCGGTGGTGGTTCCTTTCAAGCTCGCTGAGACTGCCCTGACATCGGCGCTAACAAGGTCAAGCTGGGCAGCATGGATCTTGATACCGGATGTTTTGCTCTCGCTGTCATCATGTCGACCTTTTCCAAGAGTGTTGAATTCCTCTCGTCGTTGGTGAAGATCAAGTGAGAAGCTGTCAAAACGAACCTTTATGCCAGTCGCAGAGACGGCGTTCTCAGAGTAATCCTCAATGTCCTTGTGCTTGTAGATGTGACTCAAGAATAAGGGCGCCAGCAGCAGATTGTACTTGACAGTTGCCAGGTGGCGGCCAAACTTCTTGCTATTCTTCTCGCGTCCAGGGAACAGAGTGCCTTGGCGAATGGGGAGAGACAGGGGCTGGCCAAACAACCCCCACCAAGCGAAGAAATGAGTGAAGAATCTCGGGGTAAGATGGACCGTGTTGTAGCTTCGTGAGGGCTCGGGGTTTTCTGACATCCAATTGCGATCGGCTGGAGCTCGGACCGCAATAGAGAGATGGATATGTCGACTCCTGAAGCCACGCATGGCATCGTACGGAAGGCCATTCTCGTCGGGCTTGGCAAAGTGTGGGTTCTTGAGGACGATATCGTAATGGGGCCGGAACTCAAAGCTTCGTATGCCATCCTCAAT